GGGAGCCTCAGGAGGTGAGGAGCCACGCTTCGCTGGGGCCAAACGGAGCTTCTGTTAGGAGATGCGTTGACTAAACATCAGGCGGAGGCTGCAGATCTGCTGCGTGCTTGTCTGAGAGCGTCGGCACACCAGCTGGCAAATGAATCCGTCACTCTGGCAGGGGCTCAAGCTGAGAAAGCTGCTCGTGCCAGCCGTGCCAGCTGCAGGTGCCCTTGATCCGACTCCCGGATTGGGCAATGGTGAAGCGCGAGGTGCAGGGGCGCGACGACCAGGCCAGGGCGTTCATGCTTTGGCTCACGGACGTCTACCTGGAGGAGTCCTCGTCCGCGGTGGCACAGGCCAGGGTCAAGGTGAAGGTGCCAGCCAAGGCCATCCTGGCAGGGGGCCCTGCCAAGAAAGGGAACGCCCCAGTGACGCTGCAGTGCGTGGCCAACACGGGGAACGTGCAGGTGATGACGACCGCGGCGCTGCTGGACGAGGTGGGCGAGACCCTCATGAAGCTCGAGCAGGCGTACGTCGAGTGGCAGAGTGCGCCGGCCAACGCAACGCCAAAGCTGAAGGTGGAGTCCCCAGCGGCGGAGCTCTTCCGTGCCAAAACGGACAAGCCCGTCAAGAATGAGTCAGATAACGAGACGGCAAAGATGAGCCTGCCAGACGACGAGGGCTATGCCGAGGCGATGGACAGCATCATGGAGAGCGTTACCCGGTCGATGTCAGGTCACTTCGTCATGAGGGGCAGGATCCTGGGAGTGCTGCAGCATTTCGTGCCAGAATCGGAGCTTGCATCAGAGGTCGGTGGTCCGTGGAATCCAGATAATGACTGGACGATAAGCGGAGATGAGCCGTACGAGGAGCAGTGAGAAGCACGAAAGAGAGAGAAGTCCAGTGCGAACATGGCACCACTCTAGAGCTCCAGAAGGCCTTTGTAGCGTGTGAGTGTGCTTATGCGTGCATGTGCTCTGTAGCCACTCAGGGTCAGACCGGTGCGCTGCCAGGAGATCGCGGGCGCCTTCGGCCTTAAAGACCATGCCAAAGGAATCACCGTGCTCGACACCACTCGCGGACGGCATTCGGAGGTTCCCCGAAGAGATCCCCCAAGGGTTCCCCACGACTGCTGGGGGAACGCGTGTTCCAATTGCTTGGCAAAACTTTGGCGTATCGTTTGGCCGCGTCGGCATTTCCAGGCAGGCACCGGCGGTGGCTCGCCGGAGGCGTGTCTGGCACCCTGGCCAAAACGGACGGAGGCGCCTGCTGGGCACATCGGACGGAACCCGTCCGTACGGCACGGCACTTCTCCGAGCCATCGAGCACGCCGGGGGTGGGCAGAGGGGCCAGGGTCCTCCTCCTCCGCCTCCTCCTCCTCCTATTCCTCCTCCTCCTCCTCCTCCTCCTCCTCCTCCTCCTTCCCCCATCCTCCTTCTTCATATCCTCCTCCTCGAATTGTGCTCCCGCTGCAGCGCTGGCCTCATTTCCGCGCTTCCGCTCGTTTCGAATGCAATGCTAGGTTGATACTACGCTTCGCGGTGCTCTTCTACGCCATGCCATGCCGTGCTCTACAATGCATCGCGTACCCTTTCGGGATCATTGCCCTGCTCGACATCCGACTGTGCGAGTAGAGAGGGGATCTGCGCCATGGTAAGGGATGGGAGGGAGGGGTAGGATGTCAGATATGACGCGAGCGCACCTAGCTTGTCCCACTCCCCCTCCTCCTCCTCCGGGGGGGGAGGACGGCCTCCTCAGAAGCGCAGGGGGCCCACTTATACAGTGAGGCCGTGCCCTTGGTGGCTCTCGGGCCTCGGTTCTCCGGCCCGTTGGGGCCGTCTCCGGCGGACGCACCCCGACCCGGCGGTCTTACAAGCTGAAGAAGAAGAGGCGAATGCAGAGATCGGGAGAGAAAGAGGGAGGCAGAAAATGAGATGAGAAGAGAAGAAAAGGCAAACGAGAAGGATGCGCTTTGGCCGCGAATGTTGCGAAGAGTGGGTGCTGGGGGGGCTGCCCATACATATATGTATATATATATATATATATAAATGTATACGCACGCACTCCACTGGCAGGAGCATATCCACTGGGGCCCTCTGGGCATTGTGAGGGGCACTCCGGAGGCGATCTAGGCCTCCGTGAAACTTGGGCCACGGTCGCAACTCTGGCAACTTGGCACGACGAAAGCGCGTTTTGGAGGAATTGTGCCCTGGACAACCGGCTCGTCACTCTAAGTTTTGTCAGCTCCAGGGCCCTATAGAAGGACTCCAAGAGCCCGAAGTCCATACCCCTTCCCTCGAGGCCCCGTGTTCTCCCTCATGCCGAGCAGCACCCGACCCGTGCCCCGAGGACTTCACAGGGAGCCAGACACACCTCCGAAGGAGGCCAGACGGGGAAGAGCTTCTCGAGAGAAAGAGCCACCTGCGCAACACACAAACGTTCGACGGTCTGCGCGGACCGTCGAAAAAGTACCCATCGGTCGGAAGAAGTAGGTAGAAACATGAAGTAGGAAGGCGCCGAGAGTAGATTGGGTTCCGCCCGCCCCCTCGGGAGAACGGAACAGGTGAAGCCATTCGATCTCTGAAGTGACAAGGCGCTTACAAAGCAGCCTGGCACCCGGGAGCCCCAAACATATACACACACACACTCTCGACGACAGATCGGTACGTGAGTGCTGTTATTATTTGTCTCGGGTCGGGCGAAAGGAGGGGGGGTGAGAATCAGCTCACGTAGCTGATTTTCCCGGCGCCTCTCGGCGCTGGAGGCGGCTATGTATCGAGGAATGGGGCCCCTCGGTGGGGCCGAAACCAGCTGCATGCAGCAAATTTCGTACCCCCCCCTTTCCCAATCCCCCTTTCGTCCGGCCCGATTGTCGGAGCCGCCGCGGGTCGTCTGCAGCATCTCGGGGTTCTGGGCCAGCTCGGCCGCGGCCGCGGCCATCTCGCCGCCACCCCCGCCGCCCGTGCCGCCGCCCGCCGCCTCCTCCTGGACCCGCCGGCCGCCCACCAAGGGGGGGGCCCGCCGCGGCGCGCAAAGGCTCCCGAGGGGCACGGCGGGGATCGCCGACGCGCACCGTGGGCCCGCGCCTGCGACGACGAACCACCCGACGACATGACGACACGACGACGACCGGTCGGTGGGGGAGGGGGTCCTCCTCCTCTTCCTCCTCCTCCTCCTCGTCCTCCTCCTCATCCTCCACCTCATTCCCCCCCAACTGATGGTGGTGGTGGAGGTGGTGGCAGAAAACAAGCCCATCACCATTGCAGCGACCACGGCGACGACACGACAACGGTGCCCAACCAGAACGCTCATCCTGCCCTGGAACATTCAAATGAGCAGCGAGTACCCAACGATCCTTTCCGCCCCAGCCAGGAGCATCCAACGTGGACCATCACCTTGCGGTTGCCCCGTGGAGGAGGCAGCGGCGCGCACACGAGCGGAGGGGGGGCAGAAGGGCGACGGGGAAGGGGAAGGGGGAGGAGGCGGAGGAGGGGCGGGGCCTCACCCCTCACTGCCGCCTTGCCTGCCCCTCCTCAGTCTCCTTCCCTCCCCCCGCCCCCTCCCTGTCGGCGACGCCCACTTCCACGACTTCCCCTCCTCTTCCTCTTCCCCTCCCTTTTGGCGCTGCACCAGCGTAGGCTTGCGAGCCGTCGCAACTTCACCCCCCCCCTCCTCCCCCTTCCTCCTACTCCTCCTTCTCCTCCTCCTCCTCCTCCTCGTCCTCCTCCTTATCCTCCACCTCCTTTCCCCTCCAACGTGTGGTGGTGGTGGTGGTAGAAAACAGGCCCATCACCACTGCAACGACCACGGCGACGACACGACACTGGTGCCCAATCATCGCGAAAGGCCCCGGGACTCCGTCAGCGCCTCCCTGACGGGGACTCCGCAAATGGGCACGTTGGGCAGCGACCCCGCGAGCCCAACCCTCCCAACGCGGGCAACGCTGCAGTGCCCGAAAGAGGGCCCAAAGTGGAACAATTGGTGGGCTTCCAGGCCTCGGATGGGGCGCAAGGGTGGGATAGCAACTGGTAGGGCACAGGGTACAGAAAGAGCTCAGGTAGCTGCTTTTCCTGGCGCCTCCTGCCGCCGGGAGCCGCCCATGTGTCCGAGAATGGGCCCGACGACGGGGCCGAAGCCGGGAGCATGCAGCAGATTTCGCACACCCTCTCTTTACTCAGGGGGGAAAGAAACACACAGACACAATCAATCGTCGACTCCCCCCAAAAAAAAGCGAAAACATGGAAGTGTAGGGGAAGACGAGAACCCAAAACACATGGGAAAATCTGGGGGGGATCCTGGGATTTGTGTATCTATCTGTGCGTTTTAGGGCCCCTTCATTTACCTGTATCCTACCCTCTCGTCCGGCCCGAAAGACACCCGCGAGCGAGAACCCAGTACGGTGCTGCCGGCTCCGTTCTGCGAGGGCTGCCCCAGGCGAGCGCGGCCGACAAGCGCCCGGGCTCTCGGAGGAGGAGGAGGAGGAGGAGGAGCAGGAGGAGGAGGAGGATAAGGAGGAGGAGGAGGAGGAGGAGGAGGAGGAGCCTAGGAGGAGCAGGAGCAGGAGCAGGAGCAGGAGGAGGACGGAGCTGCGCCCAGACGGGCGCTGGCCGCCAGCCTTACTCGAACCAGCGGTGGCGCAGGGACAGTCCAAGGGGAGCGCTGGGGCAAAGCCCGGGGCCCCCTGGGCCTGCCCATCCGGTGCGAGCCGCCCGGATCAGGAGGAGTCCAAAAAACTCGAGGCGCCTCCCCATGTCTGCCTGCGCACAACTACGTAAAAGGGACTCTTCAGGGATCCAGGTCCGCTGCGAAGCCCATCGGCGGAGAAAGGACAAATCAACGCATCGGGAAGGGGAGGGTGGGAGTGGGATGATGTCAGGTATGGCGCAAGCCCATCAAGCGTGTTCTGCCCCCCCCCCCCCCCCCCCCCCCCCTTCCCCCCCCCCCCCCCTTTTTCTCCTCCCCCTTCTCCTGCTCCTCGTCTCTGGGATAGTCACCCGCGGATGTGGCGCAAAGCCGTCCGGATCATCCGCATGAACGCCTGCGGGTTCGCCATCACAGCCTGAGGAGACGCTCGTTGCGGGCACACGCCCCCCTCTCCATACGGGATGAGGGAGGAGGAGGAGAAGGAGGAGGAGGAGGACGAGGAACAGGGAGGGGGCGGAGGGGAGGAGCAGGAGTAGGAGCGCACGTAACTCATGAGGGCATGGTTACGTCATCGACTGGCGCAGATGGCCAGCTTAGTGGCACGCAAGAGCCTCAGGTGGGCCTCAAGGTCGCCACAACGGGAGGGCGAGGCCTCATGCTCTGCTTTGAGCTTGTGGTAGAAGTGAAAACCTAGCACGACTAGGCGATGAGTGGTCTCGCGGGTGACCTGCGGGTCATAATCAGCATCGAGGCCGAGGCCGAGACGCGCCAGGGGGCATGAGGGGAGGAAGAGCGTCGGACGGGCGAGGAGGTGGAGGAGACGAGGGCAGGCCAGGTAATGAGGCCAGCGAGGAGCAGGAGTAGGAGTAGGAGTAGGACGAAGAGGAGGAGGAGGAGGAGGAGGAGGAGGAGGAGGAGGTGAAAAGGGAGGAAGGAGGAGGCGGAGGAGAAGGAGGAGGAGGACCAAAGTAAACCCACAGCTCATTAGCGTTTTTGAAAACGCCATCCGACAAGGGGCCATTTCCACTGGAAGAGTTGCCGCCGTTTGGGGACTCCGTGTGACCATCCTGAAGCGCGCCGAAGCACCATTGTCAGAACTTCAACGCCACGAGTTAAACTGACAGTTACGACTTGGCAAACCTGAATCATGTCTGAACACCATTTCTGGGACATGGACACCGCGAGCCAACTTAACTGCTCCGCCCTGACAGTCCCGAATCGTTCCAAAACGCAGCTTCTGGTACATTAAACTCTTACATGTTTTGAACATGAATGCACGGGGCGCTAAAACGATAACCACATTTAGAATGCGGCCCGCCCTCTATTCGTGAAACTATTGCACTTTGTTGTAACGAATGCGCGCGGCGCGAAGGCCAGAGCCACATCTGAAAACGGCCCGCCCTCAATGCGTAAACATGTGGTATCCTTTGGAAGCGAAAGCGCATGACGCAAACCACATTTTGAAAACGACCTGTCCTCATCTCCGTGAAACTTTTGGCAAATAAATGAAACACATGTGCCTGGCGCTGAAACGAAACAAAAAACGCATGTTGAAAACGACCCACCCTCATTCCGAGAAACTCGTGCAACTTGTTGAAGCGCATGTGCGCGGCTCTATGGCGAGAGCCACATTTTGAAAACGACCCGCCCTGAATCCGTGAATCGCTTGCAATGGTTGAAGCAAATGTGCGCGGCGCTGAGGCGATAACCACACTTAAACAAAAAGCTCCCCCCCTCAGCCCGTGGATCGTTCGCAAATGATTAGATCTAATATGCGTGGCGCCGAGGCGGCAACCGCATTTTCAAAGCGACCCGCCGTTCATCCAACACGTTCTTGCAAGTCTTTGAAACGAAAGTGCGCGGCGCTGATGCGAAAATCGCGTTTTGGAAACGACCCGCCCTCCATGTGTGAAGCGGTTGTCAGTTCTGAAGCATCAGGTTCATAACAGGTGAAGATGTCTCAGGCGAAGCACCCTGTCAGCCCATTCGACCGACAGGAAGGAGTTCTCGATTAGGAAAAGGAATTGAGAAAGAGGAGGAGGAGGAGGAAGGGAAGGAGGAGGAAGAGGAGGAGGAAGGGAAGCGAAACACCAACTTCTAGGGGGTCCAACGGTGTTTTGTTCGGGGTTCCAGCATGTCCTCGCCCACCCTCCCGTGCGCCCCACGAAGGGGAGGGGAGGGGCGGATGGGGGGGGACGAGCAGTGGGTGGAGGGGGGGCCAGACCACCCTGGAACACGGGTGGTCCACGAACGCGTGGCTCCACAACAGTGCCAGATCTGCCAGACCACGCGCACCACCTGGCAGTCTCTGAAGCTGTCTCTGCATTGCTCGGGTACCCGAAAGAACCCGAACGCTGCCAGACCCGCCAAGCCAAGCGCACCGCCCGGCGATCTCTGTACTTCCGCTGCTGGCCTCCTTCCTTTTTTGCCCGACACAAGACGCCCGAGCTGGCCGCGCGCGAAGCGCGCGGCCCATCTCCGAGGAAGGTACCCACAGTGCCTGCATGAACTCACCTGCAGTCGGACCACACAGCTTCAGGCTGGAGCCCGAGAACACCGGCGGTTCCCGTAGCCCAGAGCCGCAACAGCTGCAGGGGGCTCCCTGGTAGCCAGCCATGGACCACGGGCGCCGGCGCCACACCCACTTGCCAGCCGGCCCAACGAAACGATGGATTACCCGCAGCAGCGTCGGGACTGCAGTTCCCCCTCACCTCCGAACGTTAGGACACCCCCGTAAGGTTAACTCCTTTTAGATGAGCCCTTCCAGGGTGGATCCGTGGGCCCGATCCTACACTCGGCTGGCCTGGCCGAGCGGCGAAACTCTCCCCAAGCTGCGTCCAGCAAGGGCAACGACCAGCCTGCTATTCGCCTGGTTTCCAGAGACGGCCGAAGCCCTCTGTGGAACAGGTGCCAAGCTGGCCTACTTCCACAAATCAGACATCAGGCGGAGGTACGAACCCGTACATCTGCAGTTGGGGATTACTGGAACTGCTGTCAGAAACGGCAAGGATGGGGCCAGGCCTCCTGTCACGAAGCCGTCTCCGCACAAGGTCCTGACACTCACTGGACAAGTAGCTGGATGTGTTCTCTGCTCGCTCTGACTGGTTATGTCGGGCGCGCCCCGGCAAGCGTTAGGATAGGGAACGCAAACAGCAATGAACAACAGCCAGCTGCGGCCCAAGCTCATCTTTTCTTCATCGGCACCCTCTCGGGCTGCCGCCTCCTTTGCTTTGATCCGCCCCTGCAGCACCGCCAACTTCACCTCGAAAATGCACGGACTACTTGGACTGGCTCTCGTTATTGTCGTGGCGTCGGTATCTAACACTGGGGGGGTATATTGGTGTCGATGTGTCGCGACAGCTTCTTGCGGGGAGGGTAGCGGCCCCGCGCATTCCTCCCCGAACTCCAGCGTGCGCCTCTGCTGCGCCCAAACCCCGCAGCCAACGCATACGAACACGGTAGCCTTGCAGGTCATGCCACGCAAGCCACCCTCCTGGTCGACGACGAGCAGGCGGTGCCCCAAGGGCTGCTTGAAACACTCCTGGAAGAAATTAGGCGCACCTCGACAACCGTTGGGTCGCACCTCGACAACCGCACCTCCCGTGCTCCTGAACCGTTGGAAGCTTGAAAAAGGTTGTTGCCATCTTTCCTCCTCTTGGTCGTACAAGGGTCGTAGATTGACAATCACATTTGCCAGCTCCTTGCGACGCTTCTGCGCCACCTCATTTCTCTCAGTGACATCGCGTGGGGGGTGCATGGCGTCTTCAGTTGCAAGCTTGGCTTGCCGATCCTCGCAGGTGTTGCCATCAATGAATATCTGGGTCGCCTTGTCTAACCTCGCGTACTCTTCATGAAACGGGTGAGCTTTCATGTGTGGGGGGTCCTGAATACGATGGTAACAAGGCATGCGCTGGGCGAAAGCGAAGACCCCAGCGTACGCCCGATTGACCATCAACTGCTTTTCTTTACCCAGGTTGGAGCCATTCGCCGTGCCAGTGAAACCCTCGCACACCACCACAAGTCGATTAGCGACCTGCCAGGCGAGGAGGAAGAGGAGGAACAAGAGGTGGAGGAGGAGAGAGAGGAGGAGGAATCGGAATCGGAATCGGAATCGGAACAGACGCGAAGCGTCACGAGATCCAAATCACCAAGCCTCTTATTGGTGAGCACGCGTGACACACAAAGCAGAGACAGGACGCAACAGGTACCATCTGATCGGGAAGTTAAGCTTACGGCCACAAAACAAGTGTTCACCATATTTCAGAAATACAAGACAACTGATCATGTCCCTCCACAAAGCGATGGGATGCTTACAAATCAATTGCACACACAAATCACTCCGAACACTTGAGACAACATGTCCATGTAGTGCATATTCTGAGCAGCTCTTGCCACTCCCCAAGTACACGCCCCCCACTTCTCTAGGGGCCTCCCTGGGTTTGCGGCTGCCACTCCCCAGGTACTCGCCTCCCACTTCTGTAGAGGCCTCCTTGGGTATGCGGCGCTGCTATTTCTCGAGCCAGTGGGGTCAGCTCTGCTTGCAGTCTGCTGGGGTCGGGCCTGGGACCTCCGTGGGAGCCGCTTGCACCGCGCTCCAGTCGATCCTCGGCCCCGTCGCGACCGCCGCCCGCGGATCCTGGCCAGCAGCGCCTCTCTACTGGGCAGTCATGCCCCGTAGGGGCCCGAACTCACGTCTCGGCGCACCCCCCCGCAGGACGTCGCCGTCGCCGAGAAGCCGAGCCCGCTCCTCGCTGGCTTCCCAGCTCTGGGCGACACTGGCGCGTCCAGCCTGCATCGCAAGCGCCGCCGAGAGCTCGACCAGGATGGCCGTCGCCTCCGCCACCGCCTCCACTGGCTCCTCCGGCACCTCCAATGGAGACTCGGAGGCGCCCGAAGCGGCCCCGCCGACAGCACGTTCCCCGTCGCCACGACCGCGTACCTCAGGGGCAGGGGAGCCGGCTGCGGGCGCGCCTGGGCCGCCATCGCCCTCGGCAGCAGCACCGCCGCCGCCAGGAGCGCATCCAGCCTCCCCAGGGCCCGCCGCGGGCGCGCGCGCGAGCGCGGCCGCGAGCGCCGCGCCAAGGCGCGTCGGCTCGGCGCCGCGATGGCCGCGCAGCTCCTCGAAGGCGCCGAGGAGGCGCGGCCCTCGGCCCTGCGGTACTGGGCCCCCCACTCGGCCGCCAACCGGTTTGGCCGGCGAGGGCGCCGCACCGGCGCCGCCGCCGCGCCCGCCCTGGACATGGGCGCCGAGGGGAGGAGAGGCCGGGAGGGAGAGGACGGAGCGAGAGCCCCGATGGCGCGGGCTGGCGGGGAGCCCGAGGGGGCTCGTGCCGAGCTGGCGCTGAGAGGAGGAGGAGGAGGAGGAGGAAGAGGAGGAGAGGAGGAGGAGGAAGAGGAGGAGAAGGGGGAGGATGGGCGATACGATACGACACGAAAGCAACTGAGGCCGAATGTCTCTGTCTTGGCTGGGTGGCGTTCCTCCGAGCGCCGTTTGAATGATGGAGGTCTGGTGGTGCCCAACACATGGCAATGCAAAGTCGAGCTATGACAAGTTTCAAGCCCCAAGCGGCGACAGATAGCCAACTTCCCCTCTCGTTCGCAACGTGGCTCTGCTTCGTCCACACAGCCGCTGAGCCGCGAGGACCCCCGAGGCAGGGAAGAGCCCTGCAGGGGCCTCCGTGGCACGAGCAGCTCTCTCAGGACTTCGTGCCTCTCCCCCCGGCCCCCCTCCCCCCGTCTCGACGGCCACGCCCCCCTCCCCTTCCCGTCATCGCAAAGCTGCTGCTGAACTGGCCAAGGCCCAACCACTACCGCTGGACCAACCCACGAAGAGTCGCACCGTTAGTGGAAGCGGGCGGGGTCACCACCCTCACTCGTGAGATGCACGCTCTCGGCTGCCCATGTTCCTCATGTCTCTCATTCGGCCCCTCTCCTCTCGAGCATCGTGTTGGTTTGCCCCTCGAGCGGGCCCTTTGGGGCCGATCCTACCAAATGTGTGACCTTCAAAATGCGCCAGAAACATAATCCAAAAACTGCATCACCCCGTCGACAGAGGGTTGGGCCACAACGCGAACTGGAACCTCTCACCATGCCCTCCAGATTCTTAGACCTTGGCCCCAGTGGGGCTTCGACTGAGAACCGGCGAGCCAAGGACGCAAAGTACTGAGGTATTGTGGCTTTCAGGTGCTCGTGATCGAAGTCCGTGGCTATCTGCTAGATGGGAACTGGTCCTGCATGAATGACCGCCCTCACCATAAGAAAAAAACAATATCATGAACGGTGGCACTGGCGAGCTCCTGTCCACATTCTCCCCTGCCTTCTTCTTTACCTTGAAAACTTGGACCAGTTGCAGTTCGTGTTTGCTGCCAGCCCTCCTTTCGCGAAGAAGGGATCTGTTTGTTGTTCCGAAGGCCACGCTGCTGCGCATCGGACAGACGGGTGGCCGAAATAGGAATATTTGGGAATCAGGAGCGTCGGGCGAATTCTGCTTGCTAGAAGGCCCTGCCGCCTTGACGTTGCCAACGCCAGCGAGGCCACTTTGGACGTAAGGGATTCGTATCCTGTGCTGCTGCTTTAGAGTCTGGCTGAGATGCCTGCGATCCTCCTTCCTCCGTGCTTCTCTTGAATCTCTCGACCCTCGGCTGAATCTGGACCCACATCCAAGCAAGCAAACCGTCTGCGCCAACTATTCCATCGTCCATGCCTGCGCATGGGAAGAAACGGAAAGTGCACACGAGCGTGAGAAGTGAGGATAATTCATATCCGTGAACGTTGAGCCACAAACTCTGCACGACAGTGACCCAGGGATCTGGACCTCGGAGAGGGTGGCCGCTTTCTGTGTCAGGCATCTTCCATTCTCCAGAGGCCCCCCGCCAGGTGTCTGCACGCGGTGAGTCTCTCTCCAAACATTTCCTCACGAGCTATACATTGGCTAGTTAAACATCTTTAATCCTCTTAAGCGCGATGCGAACGAGAAGGGGAAGGAGGAGGGGGAGGAGGAGGAGGAGGAGGAGGAGGAGGAGGAGGAGGAGGAGGAGGAGGAGGACAAGGCAAGGCAACTCTAGGTAGAGGAGGAGGAGGTGGAGGAGGAGGAGGAGGATGAGGAGGAGGAAGAGGAGGAGGAGGAGGGGGAGGCGGAGGAGGAGGCGGAGGAGGAGGAGGATGAGGAGAGGGGGAGAATGAGGCAGGAGAGGAGGACAGAACGAGGAGGTACGCCCACCAGAGATCTGTCGTATCGTTCGACACGGGGGGATAGCAAGGGTCGGCGGCGGCGATAGGGGCGAATAGGGGCGGGCATTACAGCGCCCCTGGATATATGGATTGCTCTTCCCTGGGCTATTCGCCCCTCATCGTCGCCTCCGAAAGGGGGGGGCTGCGAATTCGCTGTGTGCAGCTGGTTAGCCCGGCGACTCCCAGCGCCGGGATCAACCATGCATCCAGGGCGTCGGGGCCGGGACCAGCTGCACGCAGCAGTATCCGATCCCCCCCCTCTCGCTCTCCTCCCAGGCCTTCGGTCGGGCATGTCCTTCTACAGGCGGATCTCGGAAAAGAATTCCAAGGCCGCGCTAACGGCGTGCTCGGTCAACGGTGCGGTTGGGAATCTGGTTTTTGTGACACCGAGCTCACGCAGAACAAAATGTAGGAAATCACGAAGGGCCCTTTTCCTACATTCCAAATATGCAAATGTACCGAACGAAAAAGACACAACGAAATGTAAGAAAACACGAATCACGCGTTCCTACGAGTGGTTTGGCCACGAACCGCGATTTCGTACAATTGGATCTCCTGCTTCGCAATGAGCTTACACACCGTTAGCGTGTCTACGGGAATTTGTACAAAGCCAAACTTATTCAAACATAGTCAACACATAATTAATCGAGAAATCGTCCCCAGACGCTCTGTTTGCTTTGTTTTTACTATGTTTGATGGATATTCCTCCTGTAGAGGGGCATGCCCGACTTAACCCAAGCCTGGGGAGGCATGGCAGGGAGTCAGGGCCCCACAAACGGGAGTTCAAACACCTCGCGCCCAACACAAATCTGCAGCCACCGAGACACTTCTCCAATTCTTCGTTCTCTCCTGGTGGACTTGGCAAAGCCCTGGCTTGCAACGTGCTGGTTCCAGGGGCCCCTGAGGGAAAGGCCACCGCGGAGGCCACCACACCACTGAGGAGGCCACCGCGAAGGCCACTGCGGAGGCCCTCACGGTGAGGACCACGGATGCCACCGCGGAGGCCACCCCACACGCAACCGTGGAGGCCACCGCAGAGGCCACTGCGGAGGCCACTACGGTGAGGACCACGGAGGCCAGCGCGGAGGCCACCACCCACAACCGCTGAATGCCGCCGCGGAAGGGGCCGCGGAGGCCACCGCACCACCGCCGGCCTGCATCGCCTGGGGGTCGGTCTGCCCGAGCGCCGGCCTCGGCGCCCAGTCGTCGCCGCCGCCGCCGTCATCGTCGCTGCCGCCACCGTTATCACCGTCGTCGCTCGTCGTCGGTCTTCCTCGGCGTCCCCGTAGGTGCTCACAGGGTTGAGGAGGCTCTCGGAGGCTCTCGGAGGCCCCCAGAGGTTTTCGGAGATGGTGATGCCGGTCGTCGTCATCAGCGCCGTCGTCGCCGCCGCCGCCGCCGTCGAGAACAGAATGGTTCGCGCGTTTTTCAGGCTGCTATGAGTATCCACGGGCGAACTCGTTGCCGCGGATGGGTCCGCGTCGAAATCCTTACCAGAACACGCTCCAAGAGAGACCTGGATGGTTGGTCGTCGTCGTCGTCGTCGTCGTCGTCGTCGACGTCGTCGTCGTCGTCGTCGTCGTCGTCGTCGTCGTCGTCGTCGTCGTCGTCGTCGTCGTCGTCGTCGTCGTCGTCGTCGTCGTCGTCGTCGTCGTCGTGGTCACCGTTGAGGTTGTCGTTCGCTTCCCCTTGCCTGTGTAATCATCCCTCCTCCTCCGCCTCCTCCTCCTCCTCCTCCTACTCTTACTCCTACTCCTACTCCTACTCCTCCGTCTTCCGTACACTCCTACTCCTACTCCTCCGTCTTCCGTACTCCTCTTCCTTTTTCCTCGCTCCTCCGTCAAACCCGCACCCATTCCTCCTCACTCCTCCTCCTCCCGCCTCAAACCCATCCTCCTTGCGCCTCGTTCAACCGATTCCTATTCCGTCCACCGCTGGCGTGGCCTGGGCCCCACTGGCCGATTTACCCCCCTAGATGGGGATGCTGACTGTTGTCTTGAGATTTCGAAGGGCCTGTCCCGGGGGGATGGCGGGGCTTCGTGAGCATAGGATGAACGATATTGACTCCTCCCCCCAGCCTCCCGACCCACGGCACCGACGCCGACGCCCCAGACGAAAACGACGACGGCGACCGCGATGTTGACCTCCGCGCCGTCCTGCGACGACGGGCCTCCCTCGACCACTCCCTCGCCAGCCCCGGCTCCCCCCCGACCCCCCCGACCAGCGCCGACGGCCCACGGCACCGACGCCGACACCCCAGGACAAAGACGACGACGGCGACTGCGACGCCCGACGCCCACGTCGCTGTCCGCGTGCCGCGGGGCGCGACCTGCGGCGATCCGGCCCTGCGTGCCCCCTGCGGGTGGCCCAGAGCCAGAAGGACAGCAAACACGACGAGGCCATCGTGCTACCAAAAGGGGCGCACGATGAGGAACAACGGGGCTTTTCCGGCCACGACGGGCCTAGGCCACACACACACAGGTTCCATGACAGGATTCTGAGGAACGGCCCGAACACCTGAGCCCCACTCTGAGCCCAAAGCGGTCCTTGTTTCAGTGTCTCGACGGTACGTGCAAGAACTTGTGCGTAGCACGTCGCAGCGGCGGATGGGACGTGGATAGGGGCCGAGAGCCTGCGGCGCGATGCGCTCAGCCCAGGTTCCCCGCCGCAGTCATGACCTGTCGGAGCTCCGCGCGGGTTTCTCTTGGATTCGGCACTGGGCCCCCCCTCCCTGGCGCGCAGAGGGCGTCCAGGGGCGGCGCCAGAGGCGCGGCCAGGGGGTCGCAGCGCCGATCCGCGAAATCCGCGCAGAATCCCAAAAGTTTATGTCTCTGCCTGCCGAGGAGGAGGAGGAGGAGGAGGAGGAGGAGGAGGAGGAGGAGGAGGAGGAGGAGACGAGCGTATGATAGACGTCCTGTCTGAGTAAATCTACAAAAATCCGCCGCACTCGACAAGAGCACAAATAAACCTAAACCGCGGAAGGCGACAGCCACACGAATATCATGACATCGCACACCTTCGCAACATGCGAACCCACCAGCTTTTGACATTCATCCCAGAGACCTGAGAGCGGAAGTTGTCGCACGCAGTCTGGCGAAAGGCCGTCCTGTTGAGCAGCAGTGGCCCGCTGCTGCAGCACTTATGGATCCTTACGAACAGAGCTGTGTAGGCGCTCCTGGCCCAGAACCAGAGCGGACTGCAATTCACCATGACTTTCATCACAACGCACACGCGGGAGGCCCCGCATAGAGTCCATGTTCGCATTCACCTAACCGACGCGCGGGATCGTCGGGACTAAGGGGGCAGCGAAATCAGAGTGCGCCTGCTTGAGGGAAGAGACCGAGAATAGAATATCCTGGTGGTGGTCAAGGAAAACCTGCTTTCACAGCTCGTGCCGCTCAATGATATGCTTCATATCAGCCATCGAATAAGATATCGTATCGGCAACCGAAACACCAGGAAGCACATACATAATCGTCGCTTCCATTTCCAACTGCTCTGATATATATATATATATGTATATATGTAGATATATACACATACATATATTTACATTTATATATATATATAACTATATGTGTGCGAACGGCTTGCCATTCTTTCCCAGACATCTTGTGGTGTTGGGCCCTCGGTTTGAAGAGACAGCGCCCCGCGTTCCATCCTTCCTTCATTCATTCCTTCCTTTCGTCCTTCCTCATCCCCCTCCTCCCTCCCCCCATCCCTGCCTCTGCCCTGCGCATGTCATCGCCGTCGTCGTCGTCGTCATCATCATCATCATCATCAGCATCATCACCGTCATCGCCGTGTCATCGTCATCATCGACGTCATGATCACCACCGTTATCGTCACCATCATCGCCACCAATTTCGCCACACCTCTTACACGTTTCGTGGCCACACGGAGAGCCCCATCGAAGGCCTCAATAGCGGTGTTCGCATGCGCCTCCCCCACCAAGCACAAGGCTTCGCGGCCCCATTGGGAGCCCAACCGGAAGCCCTACTGGCGGCTTTCGCATGCGTTTCCCCCACCGAACACTGCGTTTCGTTGGCCACATACGGAGCTCCACCTTAGGCCCCACCGGCGGTGTTCGCATGCGCCCGCCCCCACACCCAGCACAGCGTTTCGTGGCCCCATAAGGAGCCCCACAAACGGCCTCACTGGCGGTGCTCGCATGTGTCTCCCACACCCAGCAGAGCGTTCCGTGGCCCCACAGGGAGCTCCAGTTCAGGTCCCAGTGGCGGTGTTCGCATGCGTCTCCCTCACCCAGGGCAACGCCCAGTGGCGGTGTTCGCATGCGTCTCCCCCACCCAGGACAGCGCTTCGTGGCCCCACTAGGAGCCCCACCTAAGGTCCCAATGGCAGTGTTCGCATGCGTGCCCCCCATCCAGAACAACGTTTCGCGGCCCCACATCGAGCTCCACCTCAAGCCCTAATGGCGGTGTTCGCATGCGTCACCCCCGCCCAGAACAGCGTTTCGCGGCCCCACATCGAGCTCCACCTCAGGCCCCGGTGGCGGTGTTCGCATGCGTCCCCCCCACCGAACACTGCGTTCCGCGGCCCGGCAGGGGATTCCACCTAAGGTCCCAATAGCGGTGTACGCATGCGTCTCCCCTGCCCAGGACAGCGCTTCGCGGCCCCACATCGAGCTCCACCTCAGGCCCCAGTGGCGGTGTTCGCATGCGTCTCCCCAAGCCAGGACAGCGTGACAGCGTTTCGTGGCCCCACAGGGAGCTCCGCCTACGGCCCCTGTGGCGGTGTTCGCATGCGCATCCCCCACTCAGGAAATCGTTTCGTGGTCCCACATCGAGCTCCACCTACGGCCCCAGTGGCGGTGTTCGCATGCGTCTCCCCCGCCCAGAACACCGATTCGTGGCCCCACAGGGAGCTCCGCCTACGGCCCCTGTGGCGGTGTTCGCATGCGCATCCCCTACTCAGGACATCGTTTCGTGGTCCCACACTAAGCTCCACCTACGGCCCCAGTGGCGGTGTTCGCATGCGTCTCCCCCACCCAGAACAACGTTTCGTGGCCCCAAAAAGGGCTTCCACACAAGGCTCCTGTGGCGGTGTTCGCATGAATCCCCCCCGCCTTGCACAGCGTTCCGTCGCCCCACAGGGAGCTCCACCTACGGCCCCAGTGGCGGTGTTCGCCGGCGTCTCCCCCACCCAGGACAACGTTTCGTGGCCACACATCGAGTTCCACCTAATGCCTGGATGGCGGTGCTCACATGCGTCCCCCCGCCCAGAAAAGCGCTTCGTCGCCCCACAGGGAGGTCCACCTGAGGCCCCAGTGGCGGTGTTCGCATGCGTCTCCCCCACCCCGGACTGCAATTCGCGGCCCCACATGGAGCTCCACCTGGGCGGAGCGACCTGCGGAGCTGCGGAGCCCTGCACGGCGCACTGCAAAGCAGGCATCGCCTCGTGGCCCACAGAGGGAGGCACCCTCACACATTTCGCGCCCCTCCATTAGGAACCCAACCGAAGGTTATACACGCGATCGCGGTACCTACAGCTGAATACGGCTGGGTCCTTCGCCAAGCTACTTTTGTTCAACCACGTGGACCATACCTGAACAAGAAGCACCCTGGGCAGCAACAGAGGGCGCCATCGCATAAGCCCAGCTGGCCTGGTCCTGCAGCGCCTGAGTAACAGCCCACAAGTCAGGGTGGGAAGCCATATCCATCCCAGTGCTCGGCACGCAAGGCGGACAAAAGCACAGAAATCACATATTCGAAATCGCAGCAATCTAACTCAGACTCGCGGAGCGCATCCACTGCCATCCCGAAGCCGCTCCCAGACCTCGTATGCCCCAAGGGCTCCGAGCGGTATGCGGCGATGGCATTCTCATCAGAGAGCATGTGTGGACGTGCGGGCGGCAAGAACGCTGGGGTTTTCGAGCGCAGCACGAACTCGATGGTACTGAGGCTGCTGCAGCGTAGCCTCTGCCAACGGCATGCGCGTATTGCATTGCCATGTGGGGTGAACACAAGAGGGTCAGGCCGAAGACGATGTACATCACCCGAGGCGGCGGTGCCCGAAACAGAAGAAAACGAAAGAGTAGAGAAGCGTGACAATGGACAGTCATGCTTGGCTTGGTTCGCCGTCCAGTGGATCGTGAACGCCTCCTCACCATCAGCATGAGAGAGATCAGCACGCAGAGCAGCGGTGCGAGCGTAGCCGGCAGGCTCGCCGATCAGGTGGTTGTGCGCGTCATGCAGCGCCAGCGACCGCGCCATGTTGACCACATGCCCAGAATGAGAAACTTGAACTGGAATCAACACAGTCGACGTCTTGCCAATGATGAAGCCCTTGTCCGCCGCGCGGAGATGGCGACGCTCGGCAGCAACAACCGAGCGACAGTGCACCATCGCAAGCCGTGCACTGAAGAAAATAGATGGCGAGAGCAGCACACGCGGCGCCGGTGCAGCCATGAGCCAGGCCCCAGCTCGAACCAAAGCGGGCTTGAGCCAAAAGTGCTACGGAGGAGGACGACGAAGGGGACGGGGACGAGGGAGGAGGCGCGAGGAGGAGCGAAGAAGAGGAGGAGGGGGAGGAGGAGGAGGAGGAGGAGGAGGAGGAGGAGGAGGAGGAGGAGGAGGAGAAGGAGGAGGAGGAGGAAGAGGAGGAGGAGGAAGAGGAGGAAGGAACTTCCGACGGCGATCGTGCGGTCGGCGAAGGTCGCGACCAGGTAGTCGCGCGCCGGGCGCCCCGTGTTCGCAGCGCGGTGCCTGCGAGAGGCAGGCCCGGGGGCCGGTCGCGCCCGCCTAAGGCGCGACAACCGCAGTCGACGGGTCGTCGTCGTCGTCGTGGTCGTGGTCGTGGTCGTCGTCGTCGTGGTCGGCGGCGTCGTCGTCGTCGGCGGCGTCGTCGGCGGCATCGTCGGCGGCGTCGGCGTCGGCGTCGGCGTCGTCGGCGTCGGCGTCGGCGTCGCGCTCCGTGCGGTCGGCGGGGCGCCGCAGCATGTCTCCATGCGGCGGCCGCGCGCTGGCCGAGGCGCGCTGGGGCGTCGGCAGGATCTGCGCCAGCATCTGCGGGTTCTGCGCCACCATCCTTCGCGAGCGGCGGACGCATCCATCTCCACGCCCTCGCGGTCTGGATTCCGGGCCCCGATCCCGCGGCTACTGGTGCGTTCCGCGAGGGGGCAAGCGCGAAGAAGAGGCCCCGTATCCGCGGGGCCACCGCCCAAGGGTGTCGGGCCTGCGAGGCCGCGGAGACGGACATGTCTTTCGCCCACGACGTCCTGGCCAGCTGGGGGAACTGCGGGTTCGTCCGCAGCCTGGCCAGCTCGGGGGGCACCTCGGCGTCAAGCCGGCCGAGGCCGAGGGAGGAGCATCTCGAGAGCTCTGACCTCGATGCCTCGACGGCACGCGCCGGAGATCTCTCATCTTGTCCCGTCATCCGTGCACCTGGCCCCGATCAAGTCCCAGAGAGGGGTGAGGGGGCAGACGCGGGAAGGCTCGCGAGCGGGTCGTGGGTGAGTCGCGGGGTGAGTCACGGGGTGGGTCGCGGGTGGGTCGCGGGGGGGACGACGACAAGAACAAGCAACAAAGAAGCAGAATCCGGGCAACCGAATCCCACTTCACCCGAGCACCCGGGGATGGTGCAAAACCGTTCGGCCACCTCACTCCGACTTGCGAGTCTGTGGAGGTCTGGAGAAGCGGCGCCGGCGGGAAGGCGGCTCGGTATAGTCGAAGAGGGTACGGAAAGGCTGGGCACGAAGACCAACAGCAGTTCACGCCCATTTTGAACAATGATCGCTGGCGGTGTCACGGTGTCAGCTTGGGACGGACTGCCGCCTGCCCGACAGCGGCCGCTGCCAGCTTTGGACACCAATCGCTGCTGGGCATCGTCGCCATTGTTCCGCACCCATGTCGGGCGTCCAGAGCTCGGCTACACGTAAGAGCAACCCTAGGCAATCGTGGCCTCAGGTGCGCGCAAGCCGCTGCTATCGCATTTCATTCAGCCATCTGGGGACGCCAATGTGCCTCGGGCATTTACTGAGCCGAGTCAATGCAAACCCCGGCTAGTCGGGCCTTGAAGGAACCTGCAAAAAAATCCTGCAGATCCTGCACGTAAACCCAGGTCAGTGCATCCCTGGCCCTGCAGGATCCTGCACAAACCGGCGCTCTGGCCGTTCCCCGTTTGCACTCACCCCCGTCCCATGAGCCCCAGTGTGCCCGCACCAGAGGTCACTCCGCCGAAAGGTCACTCTTATAGAGGCCTCCTAGATGGGGTCCGCGTAGATGGGGTCGGAGAATTGCACCGCATCGCCGATTTATCACCGATGCATCGGCGACGTCGGCGATGCATCGGCGACGTCGACGCGAAGCAAATCGGGCCCCACATCAAGCCACACCAGCGATGCCTCCGCGATGCGGCGCGACCCTCCGACCCCGTCCACTCCGACCCCACCTGGGAGGCCCAGATCCTTACGCTTAGCCGAACAGGGGCGGCCTCCGCGCCGCCGCCGCCGCCCCCGGCGGGCATCGCCGGGAACGCCGCGGCGCCGGGCGGCAGCGCCGCGCCGCCCGCGGCCGGCGGCCCGCCCGCGCCGCCCGGCACGGGCGCAGCGCCCTCGGGCGGGCCTGCGAGGCCAGCGGGGATGCCTCGGGCGGGGCGGGCAGCGTCGCGGCGGCAGCGGCGGCGTCGTCGTCGTCCTCCAACTCGTCGTCCTCGTCGTCGTCCTCCACGTAAGACGAAGCCAGGACGAGGAGAACATCGGGTGATGATACATCGTGGATCTCTGAGATCTAGCGGCTATGGAGGATGTCTCGGGCGGCGCGGCCTTCTCAGAGCGTTCGAACACTCTGAGGACGGTCCGGAACGTTCTGGAACGGATTGATCCTCGTCCCAGCCCCGTCCGACCTCGTCCTCCTCCTGCAGAGGGCGCCGTTTAGGCGCGAGGGCTTGGGCTTGGGCCCCCTGGGAGCACGACCGGTCCTCATCCTTGTCGCGCTGACCCGGAAATCTCTGGCCTGGAAATCCACGGGCCAACCGCGGCATCACAGCCCAACAGAATCACAGCCTGATCCTCCTCCTCCTCCTCCTTCTCGTCGCTCTTCCTCCTCCTCCTCCTTCTCGTCGCTCTTCCTGTCGTGCTTTCTCGGCCAGCGCCGGCGCAGAGTGCGGCGGCGGCCCCGGCAGCGGCGGCGGCGGTCTGCGGCGGTGGTGGCGGCGGCGTGCGGCATGCGGCGGCAGAGGCGGCGAACACGACGGCGGCGAAGACAACTGACGGCGGCAACGGTGACGAGAAGGAGGAGGTGGAGGAGGAGGAGGAGGAGGACGAGGCGGAGGATGAGGATGGTGTGGACGAGGAGAGGACAACAGACAGGAAAGTGGGAAGCGCACGGGAACGCCGAAAATGGAGAGAAATACCTCAGAAGCCCCTCTTCCCCCATGTGAGGGGCAGAGGCAAGGAGATAGGGGGAATGACTCAGGGAAAGAAACATTGATCTGGAATCGGCGATACATCTTCGTTGGATCGGCGACGTGTTCCGACAGCGAAAGCGCACGTTCCTGCGCGGGCTGGGCTATCAGGCCCCGGTCGGCGATGCATGGGCGACTGGGCATCAGTGCATCCAGCCCTGAGGCCAGCGCCTCCTAACGTTGCCCAGAACCATGGCCTGCGGCCCCTCTTCTTCTTGATTGTCACTCCTCCCCCCCCTTCCTCCTCCTCCTCCTCCTCCCTCCTCCTCCTCTCCTCCTCCTCCTCCTCCTCCTCCTCCCTCCTCCTCCTCCTCCTCCTCCTCCTCCTCCTCCTCCTCCTCCTCCTCTCTCGCTCTTCCTCGCCCCTCCTCGCTCCTCCTCCTCCTCGCCCCTCGCCGCTCCTCGCTCCTCCCTTCCCTCCTTCCCGGTTGTCACTCTCCCCTTTGGGCGCCGTTCATGAGGTACTCCACAGCGCGGTCCGGGTTGCCGAAGGCCGCCTGGAGGCAGCGCTCGACCTGTGGACGCTCGAAGCCCATGTTGCACAGCTCCTGCAGGCCGGGATGAGAAGCAGCCTTCGGCGGCCCTTCGGCGGCATCCCAAGATCTCCTGGGAGACCGTCGAAGTCTGTGACAAGGGCGGGCGGTGAGGACGCAAGGGCCCTGAACGCCGAAGTTGGCACTTTTTGGGCGGCGGGCTGCCAACACTCTGAAGGGCTGGCCAATGAAAACAGCGATGGACGGGCCGCAGAGGCAAGGACGCAAGGGTACCCTCAGGACATCCGTGCGTCCTTACTATGAGTTTTGACTATATGTTTTTCAACCCTGGCGTGTCCCCCATTTCGGCCTCTGGGGCCCCAGGTCGGGTCCCTGGGCATTCAAAAATCAACATGGGACGCAATCTTGCCCCAGAGGAAGGGGTCGGGGCCGCTGGGGCCGCGGATTGAACATATTATACTACAGGATGGCTGGGTTCGGCTCGGAAGTCTGCTTCGGCGGCATCCGGATCGGAGGCCTTCGGCAGCCTTCGGCGGCAGCGTGGATGTTGTCGCCATCACCGTCTACGATACACACGGCTCATCTGCAGTGCCAGGCCACTTTGATTATCATGTCTGCGGCAAGTCATGGGAGCCTCAAGTGCCATCTTGCTGGCTCTTGCGAACCGACGCTGGCTAACCGACGCTACTCGACGATGGACCGGCGCCTTCTCATCGACCACCAGACGCTAGCGCATGCGAATTCACTCCGAGACGGTGCTTCGAGGATGCACAAGGCACCCATGAGTGTCTAATCGAGGGAGGGACAGACAGCTGCTTGGACACACAGGGCAACGGAAGGGCAGACAGCTGCTTGATTAGTGGCTAGTGGCTAACGGGGGAAACACAAGGCACGCATGAGACGGTGCTTCGAGGCCCCCCCGCGCCCCGACGCCAATGGAGGGACAGACAGCTGCAGGACCACACACTTCCGGAGCTCCGCGCGGCTCTCTTGGACCTGCGCTGAATGAAGGGGCCCTGGGACACACAAATAAATATACACTAATGAAAAGATTCCCCATATTTTCCCATATTTTCTATGTTTTATGTGTGTGTGTGTGTGTTTCGTTCCCTCCTGCGCTGAACCCCTCTCCCCTCCCCGGTGCTGAACCCCTCTCCCCGGGGCGGAGCCGCGAGGGCGCCGCGAGGGGCTTGCTTCCAGCACAGATCCAAGACCTCCGCGCGGAGCTTCGGCGGTTACCGTGGTCCCGTGGTGACTCCTCAGCTGCACGCGAGAGCGACCCTCTGGGCAAGAGTGGTCCTTGGTGCGCGGCGTTTGCGAGGCGCGAGGGGGCCAAACTCGAGCGCGCAAGCCGCGGCTATGGCAGAGCGTTCGGCGATCGGAGGACCCCAATGGGCGCGCACCAGAGGTCACTCCGGCGAACGGTCACTCTGGCGTCTAGACTTCGGTCGGACATGTCCTCCTACAGGCGGATTTTGGAGGATAAATCATCAAAACATATTCGGAAGTAGTCAAGAGTAACAGACAAATCATTCCCATAATATTGCTTATGCTATGTTCGAAGATTCCTTCTGTAAAGGAACAGGCCCAGCTTAAATCTAGTCGACCTCCTTCGATTGAGCAGGGTCCGACCATCAAGGCATTTCTGTAGGTCTACCAGGACATGTTCTCATAACCCCACAATGTTCTAATACAACAAATGTTCTCATAACATAAGTCCGATGGGCTAAAACGAGACAGTCCGAGCCAGGAATGTTCTAAGAACACTTCGTGGAAACCACAAAAGGTTCTTAGAACACTCTTTGGTAGGCCTACAGGCACTCCAGGACGCTTCGCCACTGCTGGGCCCGAACTAAGTCTAGTCTTAGGTCGGGCATGTCCCAATAAAGGCGGATCTTGGACGAAAAACCAAAAATACCCTAAAACAGCTTCCAAACGTGCTCCAAACATCATCAAACCATCGTCCCTGGACTATTTTAAAACTATTTTGGAATACTCCCCCTGTAGAGGGACAGGCCAGACTTACGTCTAGTCGACCTCCTTCGAACCCAGCGCTTCGGTGCAACGCCGAGTCCTGGATGGTGGCCTCCGCCCCTGGCCGGCCGCGCGCCAGGGGGGGGGGCGAGAGGCGAGAGAGGGGAGGGGCTCCCGAGCGGAGACGAAACGCCAGGGCGATATCCTCCTCCTCCTCCTCATCCTCCTCCTCTTCCCCCTCCTCCTCCTCCTCCTCCTCCTCCTCCTCCTCCTCCTCCTCGTCCTCCTCCTCCTCCTCGTCCTCTTCCTCCTCCTCCTCTTCCTCCTCCTCCTCCTCCTCCTCCTCCTGCTCCTCCCGTATCCATATGGCGGACTCCAGAAACAGTGCGGGCGCGGCCGCAAGAAACCCTCCCAAGAAACCCAACCCTGAGAACCCGGGCGCGAGATGCACCTGAGGGGAGACCTGGAGCACCCTTAACGCAGCAGCTCCTTCAGCGGCTGCCGAAGTCACCGCGCAGCGCGAGGAGCGAAAACACCCAGGATACCCTGACGAAAAACATACGACGAATTCCGCAAACCCGGAACCCCAAAAAACGTTTTCATCTCTTGGGGTCACGTCTGTTACTTCCGCCACCTTCCGCCGAGCTTCCGCTGGCGGAGGCGGCCCCGTTCTACTTCCGCTGTCCTTCCGCCGCCTTCCGCCGCGGAAGAGATGACAACTCCTTCGATCCTCGAAAGCAAGGCCCGTTTTGAAACGCCCCTATACCTATACGACCACCCTGCGGGTGATAAAGGAGATTGGCGGGGCAACAATTGGCAAAAGTGGTGATTGTTGTTCTGACGATGCCTGCGGTGCGGAGTCTAGTGGGTAGTGGATAGCTCGCCGCAAGCGGCGATGTTTTGAAATGCGCAACCCACGGCGGGACACCGGCGGGACACCAGCGGGACACCGCGGGCCACCGTTTGACGGGAGGAGCATCATTTGGTCCGGCCGCGGCCCAGTCACAGGAGGATTTCGGGACACCAGCGGGACACCTGCGGGACACCGCGCGGCACCGGTCGCCAGAGGAGAAACATTTGGTCCGGCCGCGGCCATAAGATGAGTTCGGAACATCCGCGGGACACCAGCGGGACACCGCGGGGCACCGGCCGCCGGAAGAGTTAATCCAGAAGCCCTTGTAATGACGACGATGGTTCGGTTCAAAGCAGTCCCCCGGGACTGCTTTGAACGCTTCAAAGCAGTCCCCCAGGACTGCTGTGAACGCTTCCCTCAAAGGGACACATGGGGGGCAGCAGCTGCAGGATGATGATGGTGATGACGGTGGTGACGATTAATGACGAAGATGGCGATGACGTTAATGATGATGTTCCAACTTGTCCTGACGAAGCGCTGTCCGCAATTGCGGCCACAAACCTATTGTTACACTTGCCAGCAGCTGCGGCCATTACCAACGCTTCAATTCGACAGTCCAGACAGCGCGGTCGCTCCACGGCCCCGCGTGGCGCGCGCTCTGCGTCTGGTCGGACATGTCCGCCCACGCGCGATTGCGCTGAGGAGGCAAACCCTCCGTGAGGGCCCGCGCCGCTACGCTGAAAGATGGCGCAACTGCGGCGCGATTATCACTCCACCGCTCCCACTCATCAGCGCGCCGCTCCCACTTGTCAGCGCGCCCTCCCGCCCAGCCCCAGCCTCAAGTGGAAGCATCGTGCCCTCCCTTCGTGGGATCTTCCGCCCCCCGCTCGCCGCTGCCGCTGGCGCCAGAGGGCCCAACCGCCACTGCGGCATAAGGCATGGTCGCCTCGTGTCCGTCGGCAGCCTGCTGCCGCTGCGGTTTCCAAGGTCGCTCAGCCTCAGCGGCTCTCTCCGCAACTGCGGTTCCCCTCTGGGCAGTGTTAGTCTGGGCGCCCTTCCCCGCGAACTGCGGTGTCCTTGTCGCCGCCCATCTCGCTGCCCTTCTTGCCGCCCTTGCAAGCGCCTTTTTCTTTCTCCCGCTTCTTTTCCTTTCGCCCCTCTAGGCGAGTGCCCCCGGCGACCTGCGGCCCGCGTCGCGGGCGAAATCCACCAGGGGGAAGTGCGCTCCGCATCGCGCCTTGCCGACGGAGCCGCGCCAGACCGCGTCGCCCAGCTTGCCCTGTCTGACTCGGAAGGGGCGGGGCACCCGCGAAGTGGCGAAGCGTGTCTGCGACGGCACCAGCCTTGGGCAAGTAAGTCTGCAGCATCTTCCCGGGCCATTCGCGTAATCGAAGGTGTGGAAAGAGGCGTCAGGGCAGTCTGTTAAGAACCCGCCAGGGCCGTCGCGCAGGGTGCCCAGGCCCCGACGAAGCTCGCATCTACCATGGCAATGCATGAACATGATTGCCATGCTGTCTACTCTGGGCAGGCCGCCTGCTGTCTTCCAGGGGGCCCACGCGGCGACGTCCACCGTGACTCCGCGACTGCGGCGCCAGGGCGCGAGCTGGAACGCGCACGCGTTGAAATCCCCCATGCAGACCTTGACGCCCCACTTCGCGACGTACTCGACGATCCACTCGTAGAATTCATTAAAGTTTCTTCGGGCCCCAGTCTTGGTTGGCCAAATTGTGGTGGACGTGCGCCGCCATGGCGTTGAAGGGTTGCCCCACATGGGGCAACGTTTCGTCCAGGGTGATGCGCGCAACCATCGCCTTCGAGTGCTTGTTGTGCCATTTTGGCGCGGCCACCTCCGCAACTGCGGATTTCTTCTTCCTCCTCGGCTTGGACATCTCCTTCTTGTGGAAGAGCCCCGTAAAGTCCACGTGAGCAATGTGGCCGCCACTGCGGTCTCTGAGGCCGGTGAGGAGGGCCCCCGAAGGCTCTCCGCCCTTGACGCACAAGTAGTTGCATCGGGGTCGATTCTGGAACTTCTCGTCCGCAACTGCGGGCGTGCCCTCGCGCGCGTCGCCCCCCTCCCCCCAGGAATTGCCCCGCAGCGCTCGTCGTCGCGCCCGCAAAGGGCAATGCTTTGGCCAGGGTTGGCGTGGATCTGCGCGAACTCGCATTTGCGATGCGCGGGCTTCGATGCGCTCTGTCCGACATTGGCCGCGTAGAAGTCGATGCGCCCCGCTTCGCCCTGCGTTCTTTCCCCGGGCGTCGTAAACAGATCTCCCCTTCTCCGACGCGCGATACGTCTCGATGACATGCGCCCGCATCCAGGCCCGCGTCTTCGACAACACTTTCGGCATGTAGGGCTCGTTTGTGGCCGCAGCTGCGGCTTCCGAATCTCCACGCGGCTCCGCCTCGTCAACGGTACTGTCGCCATCTTGCGCCCTTTGGTCGTCGTTATCTTCCGCAACTGCGGCTTCCTCGCCATCTGCCGCAACTGCGGCTTCGCCTTCATCCGCGTGAATGAGCTCAGGGTTGGCGAAGCGAGTTCCGCGCGGCATCGCCTGCGACGCCGCTGCTGGGCGCGCAGGCGGCCACGTGGGGGCGACTGCGCGGGCGCCGCCTCGAGCCGCGGCGGCTACCGACGCGCCCAAAAGGAGAATGGGAGTATATGGCAGGAGATGGGAGGAGACCTGGATACGTTGCAGGTCGGATGGCACGAGGGGACAAGGGGGGCGATGGGGGGCAGGAAGAGGGCGAGGAAACCATTTTGTCGCATCACCACACACATTGAAACGCACTTGGGGCCACACGTCCTCAGGGCGCGCAGCGACAACGCTTCTCGAAAATCCGCAAGTGCGGTCTTTGCATCCATTTTGGCTCATGATGGATTTCCCCAAGGTCCGCAACTGCGGCTTGCAGGGGCTACGGGGGGAATCACCGGGGCCATTTGCCCGCCCAGGGTCCTCGCAGTCTCCGAGTGCACGAACTGCGACGGCGCCGAGCGATTCCCACACGCCGCGTCGTTGGCGACTCGCTGCAGCCACCCAGCAAACGTCAACGGCCATTGCTCCTTATGATCATTGCACATCTCTTCGTCCCGATTCGTTTTGAACCAACCCCCCCCCTCTGATCGTCCGAGAGGACGCCCTTTCCGCGAGCCAGGTGGTCCAAAGCAGCCATCCTGTCGCTCTTCACCTTGAACTCCTCTGGGTTCCACTGGGCCAGGGCGTACTTGTTCACCAAGGCCGCCTCCGCCGCAACTGCGGCCTCCTCCTTCTCCCTCAGAACAACGTCGGCCTCCCGAGTATGCTTCTAAATGTCGTGGAGGGCCTTCGTCCTGTCGTTCGCCTCTGTCGCCATGCGCCGCCGTTTCGCCGCAACTGCGGCCTCGTGGTCTCGCTGGGCAGTCAACGCTCGTAGGAGGTCGTCGTCCTCCCACGCCAGCTCTCGCAACCGCCTCTTCTGTTTGCGTTGTTCTGCAAGGCAATGTTGCGCCATTTTCTCCATGCCCGCATTGCGCAGCATACCTTCCACCTCGCGAAGCGCGTCTGCCACAGACGTCGCCACTTCCACCTGCTCGGCCGCGCGGGCGTCGACAACCACGGGGCTCATAGAGGTCTGCGCTTCCCGAGGCCCATCATCCGCAGCTGCGGCAACGCTGTGCTCCGCCATAGCCTCCTCCCAGTCGGCCTCCTCGCCCTCCTCGTCGCCCTCCTCTCCCCCCTCGGCCTCATCGGCCTCCTCGTCGCCCTCCGCGTGGCATGGCTTCGGGCCAAGCACTTCCTCTCCGAGCATGTTCGACACGGCATCTGAGGTTTTATGAGTTTCGTACTCGAGAATGAGCCGCTTCACGTCATTGCATGACCACTTAAGGCGCCCCTTCCAGCATTCCTCCCTGGCCCCCGCGACTGCGGCATCCACTTTCGCTCGAAGGCCCCCTGCTTCCCAGAGCTGCGCCGCCTCTCGGCAAATCTCCAGATCGCCAGACTTGTCAGAAGGCGCCCCTATGCCGACTTCCCGAAAACCCTGCGCAGCGCCCACGTGCAACTGCAGATTGCTGAGCACAGAAACCATCCACTCCGCGCACTCGGCACGCCGCAACTGCGGCGCGTGTTTGCCGAACGCCATATGCTGCACCAGCGCTTTGGTTTCGAGGGCAATGTGCAAGCGTTTCACGCGCTGGTTCAAGTCCGTGTCCACAGGCTGCGCAACTGCAGTTGCCCCCCCGCCGCGAATGATCAAACCGTCGCCGCGCTGCCGGGCGAGTCTCCGCACAGAGTCCGCTTTGCGCTGTTGATGGTCATCAACCATGAGGATGCGGCGCTTTCCCCCCGACTGCGGGTCGTCGGGCCCCTTTCCCGCAAGTGCCACCGCAGGAACGATATGACGTCGTCTGTGCGGTAGGACCCCTTCTCAGACGTCGCCGTGCCCACCCATGGCGGGAAGCCGCTACTGCGGGCATGAGCGGCCAAGTCCTCAGCGACGACAGTCCCCCCCTTGAACATCAGCTCCGCGGGCGGAGGTCCGCAACTGCGGATGTCCCCCACGTCGCTCGACACCGTCAGGTTCTCGGTCCACCGACTCTTGCTGTCGTCGCGCGCCTCCGCGAGCGGAACAATGCCACCCTTCACAGCCCAGGTCGGCTTCGAGGCTGAGGAGGACTCGTCGTGGTGAAATGGCGACTGGTCCCAGTTCAGGATGTGCGGGTCGTCCCCAATAAGCTCCTCCGCGGCTGCGCGGACCCTCGCTACGTTCAGGATCATTGTCTGGGCGCGCGATTGGAGCAGCCACTTCGGGATCTTGTATTTGCGATTCGGCTTCCTCATGCTCAGTCCGTAGGAGCGCCGCCACTTGGCCCGCCGCCGGGCCCGCAACTGCGGCACCTTCGGTTTGATCCCCCGCTTCGTGGCCTCCACGCAGTCCTCCGCGACGAGTTTCTTCGCCTTGGTGAGCAGCAAAGACTGGGGGGACCTGGCGAGCATCTGGGGCATTTCTTCCGCGACTGCGGTTCGCTTCGCCACCGCCTCCCAGTCCACCGAGTACCTCACGTGGGAACACCATTCGCATAGGGCGGCCTCCGACCATGGAGCCTTCGTCGGCGCGCCTTGCGCGCCGCGGCCGCGGCGCCGGCAGCCAGCGCCGCCCACTGCGGTAATTCCATATTTTTGGCGCTCCCTGTATAACCACTTTGAAACCATCTTCTTCTGGTAGACCAACCCCCAGCCCTTCGGCAATGCGAACCGCCCGCAGAACGACACGAGCGAGTAATGTGGCAGAGAGCCAACGCCCAACCAACCGCAACTGCGCGCGTGCTTGTCCAACTCCTTGCACGCCAACTGCCGGTTTCGAAGCATGCGCGGGCATGCCTTGCTCTGCTCAGGCTGAGCTGCGGGCTTCGGGCGCGCGCGGGCCAGCGCGTGCGCCCTGATCTGCTCGCGCAACGCCTCTGTCATGGATGCAGCCATGGCCAACAGCGCCCCGTCTTCCTTCGCGCCCGCCCCCCGTTTCAACGTCTCCATGAGGAGGGGGCTTAGCGCGCCTGGCCCCCCGAGCGCGTCTGTTGGTTTGCGCTCGCCCTCGGCGTCGCCCAGGGCGATGGGCCTGGGAGGGCCGCTGCCCCCGCAACTGCGGTGCGCCTTCGCGGCCTCGATGTCGAATTCCCGCGTGGCCGCGAGCACGTCGCGCAACGCTCAGCGGGCCCGCCCCCTCCGCGCACGGCGCACCCACCGCAAATGCGGCCGCCCAGCGGCGCACCTATTGGAGAGGGTGCCCAGGAGTTACTGGCCACAGGTCCTGCGCTCCCCGCGCCCACGCCTCCGCGGTCTTGCGGGGCCCCCTGCGAAGTACGCGCGCCACGCCGTCGACGGCGCATGGCTCAGTGCACATCGCCAAGGCCCACGGCGCATAGAAATCAAGGGTGTCCTTGCGGTTTTCGCATCCCCACATGCACGGTCGACGCGCGAACAGCAAGGCAAACGGCACGAATGCCGCGTGTCCTATGTAGGAACTCCCCGATAGGATTCATCTCATGACCGCCATAACTTTGTCGGGCACCCTCGCCGCCACTGCGGCCTGGATATCTTCACCGTCTTCCAGAGGTACCTTTGTCTCTGGCGCCAGGGGTGGCGCCGCGACCCGCGGGCGCAAGGCCGCGGCAGCGGGCGCCGCACCTGCGGCTGCTGCCCGTGGGTCTGGGCAGGGGAAGAGGGCGACGCGCGTCTTGGACCAGCTCTCCTCCAGCGGTCGCGCCGGTGGCATGCGCGCTGCAGGTGGCGCCACTGTGCCAGCTGCCACCCCTTCAGGAGCTCCACCCGCATCTGCGGTCTCAGCCAGAGCCCAGTGGAGGAGGCGCCGGCGCCGCGGGCGCGGTTGCCCTCGGCGCAGGAGCTTTTGGAACTGATGGCCCTGCGGGGGCCCCGCTGTCCGATGCAGCTGCCGCCGGCGCCGCGGGAGCCGCAACTTCGGCGGGTGCAGGAGCTGCTGGAGGGGCCGCTGCAGCTGGAGGGGGAAGTGGTGGCACTGCGGGCGCTCGCTGGTTCTTGAGCTGCTGCTGCCGCTGCGGGGGCATCTGCGGGCGCTGCTGCAACGGGTGCTCCTGGAGAATGTGCCGGTGCTGCCGCTGCTGTTGACGCTGCGAGAGCCGCAACTGCGGGCGGTCGAGCTGCGCCTGGCCGCCAAGCTTGCACGGAAAATCCGCGCAAGCGTGCGTCTTTATCTATTTGGGCAGTCAGCGCCGCAACTGCGGCTCAGTATGTTCGCCACCCCCGTGGTGCCGTACTTCGACTTCCTCGGTGGCGCCCCGCTGTCGCAACAAAGCCACTCCACCCCGAGGTCATCGCCGTCCTCGTGGCCGTGCCATGCTTGGCCCACCGGGACATCCATGGGCGTCGGCGCGCCGAGCGGCTCGGGACTGGCACGCTGCCGCGGGCTTGACAGCGAAGGGCGGGGGCGAGGGGAAGGGAAGAGAATTGGCAAGCGCAGGAGGAGGGGGAGGGAAGGAAGGGGACAAACGAAAGGTGCACATTTGTTGAACAGCACCCGCGTGGAAGCCCCACTCATCTCGCGCGCAAGGTTTCGATGCTTCTCTACGAAGATCTGCGTCTGCGCGCACCAAGAAAGCACGCGGGGGCGCGCTCTCGCGAAACACTCCACCTCCAAAAAAAAGTAGGCGACGTCTCGCCCTCCGTCCGCCCCCTCAAACCGCAGCGGGCCTCTCGAGCCTCAGTGCCCGCGCCCCCATTCAGCCCCGCAACTGCGGCGTCGCCGCAACCGCGGCCAGTTCGGTTTCGAGCTCAGTGCAGGAGAGACGGGACGACGAGGTCGAGGTAGTCCAGGGCCGCCTGCTTCCTTTGCTCGGCCGTGATACTGACCCAGTCGTAGTCGTAGGCCTTCGCGTCCCTCGCTGTCTCCCACTTCTTTCAGTTTCTTCACCTCCATCTCGATCGCGCTGCCGCGGTTGGCGCGCTCGCGCGTGATGGTGGCCGCCCAAGCACCTTTGAAGTCCCATGCGACGGTGCAACCAGCCCCGCCTCCCTGCGACGCGTGGGACTCGGTGGCCGCCCCACTCGTCTGTCGCGGGGCTGACGTTCCCACCGCCAGTTCCTTGTCCGCGACTGCGGCTTCGCCCTTATCGCCGTCTGTGACGCCGGGCACCCCGCCGAGGCCACGTCGTCCATGATCGTCGAGATCAACCACTCAAGGTCTTTAGCGTCGAGCCACGGCGTCCGCCGCTTGAAGCTGGCGACCCGCGCGTTGCCGACGTCCTTGTCGCCTGGAAACTTCAAGTGGCTCCTGGCGGGCATCTGCGCGCAGGACAGGTCAGTCTTCGAGGCCTGGTTGGAGTTGCGCTCTCCCGTCCTCTTCTTCTTGGCGGACGCGGGAGTCGCGGCCTGCCTCTTCGTGGCGCCCGAAGCACTGACCAAGGCCATCAGTGGGTCGCATTCACCGTCTCCCTCTTCGTCGCTCTCCTGGCCCGCAACTGCGGCGCCGCCCTGTTTCGCCAGTGTGTCCTTCACGTCCTGCCAGACCTTGGAAGCCTTCAACGCCCCTTGGCGTTGGTTTACCCTTCGCGCGCACCTCCAGCAGCCATTTCTTCCGCATGTTCACGTGCGCTAACGTGATTCCCCCAAGGGGCCCTGCATCGAGCACCCTGACGTCCTTCTCGGGGAGGGGGGCTGTCTGCGGAAGCCAACCTCCACGGATGCACAGGGCCATCTCCACCTTCGCAGGGGCCCATGTCCGCTACTGCGGCTGACCCAACCGCAACTGCGGGCAAGCAGGGGCGCGAGGGCAGCGAGGTCGCGTCCAGGGGGGGCCCGCTTTGAGCCAGACGGCGCCCTTCCGTCCCCGCGCGCCCCTCCGAGGCCCGCCTGTGCGAGAACGTTCAAAACAGTCCCCGGGGACTGATTTGAACGCCCTCGCTCAGGGGGACGCTTCGGGCGGCCGCGCGGCCCGAGGAGCCGCCGGCTGTTCCCTCGCAGGGGGGGGGGGGGGGCGGAACAGAGCGGAGGGGGGCGCCGAGATGGCGCGAGAAGGGCGCGCACGTGCTCCGCGGAAGAGACGCGAGAGCAGTGAGGGCAAACGCTGTTTCTGTATGGGGCATCAGAGCTTCGCCTGTACCTCAGTGCGCGGACGTCAGCAATCCGCGACTGCGGCGACACTTTAAGGCCTCCGAAGCAATCGAGGAACTACTACAGCACTCCGCCACTGCGGTCACGCGCGCGCACCACCCACGATGATTCAGCAGCGATTGGCGCCACCACAACCGCCACTGCGGTTTCATGAACCAACCGAATCAAGGTACGAATTGCTAGAGCAACCACCGCTGCGGTTTCTTAGAGGCTCAGTTTTCCTTTGCCGTCGAAGCCCATCCTCGTCTTCTTCTGCGGCGGTAGCCCCGAAGACTTCTCCTTTGCCCTGTGGCTCTCCTCCGCCCCCCACGTCTACTCGACCGCCTTCTTGTTCAGTGCGGCGTTGGGCCTCGCCTCCCAAAGGAGTTCTTCTCCTTGCCCGATTGGCGTCGCATTCGCCAGCGCGGGCAGCTTCGCGGCGACCGCTAGCCCGCTTGCTCTTGGAACACACACCGCCAGCTCTTCATCCTGGAGCTCCATATTGATACGCGCAACTGCGCTTCCAGTGCGCTCGCTCCTCTGGTGGAAATCTTGCTTCGTGACTCTGTTTACGGCCCAGGCGAGGCGCATTGTCTCTTGCACATCCAACTGGCGCGTTATCAACCGCACATCGTGGTCTGCCACCTCGGCGGGCGTCTTGTCCGCGCGGGGCTTGAACTCTGGCAGCAGGTAGAAGGTCTTGATTGAAGGCGCGCCTGGTCCACCTTTGACCCAGACCTGCGCCGGCACCCTCTCGGGGCGTGCGCTCGCGGGCGACAGCTTGGACGCCTTTGGGGCGCATGGCCGCAACTCGATGGACTGGGCCTCATGTGCGGCGGTTGCCTGGACGGTGCGCTCGGCCGTGGAAGCGTCTTGCAGCGCCCCCACTTTCGCTTCCGCAAATTCGGCCATGTGGCGCGCCCAAAGGCGCAACAAGACTGCGCCTGCAAGAGCAGGCTCCTGCCCTAACTCCTTCGCTGCCGACGAACACCTCCATTCGTTGATTGGCAATGGTAAGGATCCGAGGCTCGTGGCCGCAGCGCCCCTGCAGTCCGGTTGGTTATTTGGTAGTTGCGTCTTGGGATCAAAACAAGTGAATGACCCTCGGCTTCAACTCCTCCTCTGCGGAGGCCGTCGCCTTTCCCGCAACGCCAGGCTTGTCGGCGCCCGTGCGCGGCAACGCCTTGAAATCAAACCAAGCAGGCTTTTCGTTTCCGACAGGCAACTCTTCGACAGCCTTCGTGAGCTTTTCCCCGTGGGTCTTCGGCTGCAGCAGCTCCGTCGCATCCCAGAAGGCGCGGGCGAGCGAATGGCGAAGACCTATGACAGTTCGCGCCTTCGCAGGGGTCTCCTTCAGGTACTGCGCGTAGCTCTCCGCGGTCAATATGCCGACGTTCGCCTTGAACTCCAAAGCCCTTTTCCTTTTCCCGTGCCCTGGAGCGCGGGGCTCAGCGCGTGAGAGTACACGCGGAGAACGGCGTTCATGTCCTGCAGGAACTCCCATGCCCCACTCTTCGCCCACGCTGGATCTGGATCAGGGCACCAGACGGCGCGGTTCACCCCGCGCTCCTTCGGAGGCGCGCCCTGGTAGCATCGCATCACAATGGCAATCTTGACCCGCGGAACGCGGTCGGGAAGCGCGGCAGTGATCCCGAAGGCACCGAGCCTCATGGCCCTCCACTTTGAGTTCACGCACACATCGCAGAACTGGAGCAGCAGGTTGATGAACTGCGCCTTCGTGCCCCCGAGCCCAACGACAAACGAGAACAGTCCAATGAAGTCTGGGCCCGGAACGACGCGATCGAGTTCGAGCATCACGGACGTCCTCACGTTTTCAAAGGCCACCTAGGCCACCTAGTCCGCGACTGCGGCGTCGCGCGCTGCGTCAACAGCCTTGCGCGGGACGCGGGGCGCTGTGACCTCAGTCGTTCGCATCGCAGAGTCGGCGCCCTCATTGAGCGACTGGCTGATGAGGGAAGCGCCATTGGGCTCCTCGACCATGATTCTCCAGCTGAGCACTTCCATGAGCGTGCCCTCCTTCGTGAGCATCTCGGCGACAATGCAATTTTCCGCCACTGCGGCCATATTGCCATTGCCATCCTTATCCAGCACGCGCTGCAGCCTCGCGCGCCCATCGCCGGCAAACTCCATGCCCGCGGGGGCGGGCCGCCGAGCCCCTGCGACGATTGCCCGCAGCGCGAGGCACACTTTGGAATGCGACAACATGCGTTACGATGTGTCTGCCCCGCAACTGCGGTGGAAACGCGCAGCGAGATGCCCTGTCGCTTTGCCGTGATTGACTTCCGTGTGCGTCTCGAATTCGGGATCTGCTTCCGATTTCTTCATCGTCTCTTTTGTCGGGGACATCTGGGCGCATGCGCCCTCGCGGCCGGCTTCCGCCTGCGAAAATCCTGACGCGACGATTTTGACAGAGAGCTCCCGCACCCTTTCCTGCTAAGGGGAAGTGGCCGCCTCGGTTGCGGATGTTCAGGCGCGGCGCCAGCGTGACCGCGGGATCGCGCACCTTGTTGCCCCCGTCCCTGAATATAGCCCTGACCGCGGTGGCCTTCTGAAAGATCCCGCGCGATCCGTCTGCCGCCGCGGCTTCCACCTCTTCGTTTTGCGCGCCATGCCCGACGCAAACGCTCATAGCGCCGAGCCGCGCCCGCGGCCGACACTGCCGCAACTGCGGACAACGGCCGCACGTGCGTCGCCTGGGGCACTGGCTGAGGGTCAGGGGCCCAAGAACTTCCTGAGCCCAAATTTCTACGGCATGTTTCAATGTCAGGTCTGGTCAGGGTCTGGTCTGGTCTGGGTCTGGTCTAGTCTGTGTCTGGTCTGGGTCTGGTCTGTGTCTGGTCTGGGTCTGGTCTGGGTCTGGTCTGGTCTGATCAGTCTGACAACGACTCCTACTATTGCGAGTACTACTACCTCCACTACCACTACTACTGCTACCACGATGGCACTACCACTACTACGGGTACAGCTACTGATACGGCTACTACTACTAGTAGTAGTACTACGACGACCATTACTACTAGCACTAGTACCACTACTACTGCTACTACTACTACTACTACTACTACTACTACTACTACTACTACTACAACTACTACTACTACTACTACTACTACTACTACTACTACTACTACTACTACTACTACTACTACTACTACTACTACTACACTACTACGACTACTACTACTACTACTACAACTACTACTACTACTACTACTACTACTACTACTACTACTACTACTACTACTACGACCACTCCCACCACCACTACCACTACCACGAGCACTCCTACTACTTGTCTGCGATATCTTGCAGCGCGGAGAGCGCCTAGCACCGAGGCCCCCTCCGCGCCCGCCGTTCACCCCCCTGCGCGCGCCTTTTTCTCCCGAGGGCACGCTGCGCTCGTCTGCAACTGCGGGCTCTCCTACACCGCAACTGCTGGCCCTCCTGCAACGCAAGCCGCAACTGCGACTCCCCTACACCGACACACCCACTCAAGCAGTCACCACTGCGCGCGGGGAGGATCCGAGCAGCGCGACGATCCGCAACTGCGGTTATGCGCGCCGGCCCACGCGGGCCTACTAGGAAGTAGGGCGCCGGAAAGAGACGCCCGCAACTGCGGTTCCGCTTGCCCCCGCGCGTTGTCCTTCTGCTGTCTGCACTTCGCCTTCTGGCCTTGTCGTCCGCGCCCTAGGAAGATAATGTCATGGTGGGCGCCTGCCCGCCATTGGGCGTCAAAAGTCTCGGGGCGGGGCATCTTCTGAACGATCTTTCCGATGGGGGGCAACCTTGGAGGCCGAGGCGTCGCCGTATTCCGCTACTGCGGTCGTGGCCCTCTTCCCACTTCGGCACCTACCTCGCTGGGGCTCAGCGCCCGGCGATGACAGACAGGTCAGCGCGAAGCATCCAGTCGGGGAGCCAAGGGGGCTCTTGATCCGCGGGCTTCCCTGTGCTGTCAAACCGGCAGTCTGCAAGGCGCGCGTCGCTCGGGCGAATGGGGGCCGTGTAGTTGGGATGCATGACGCGGGCGCCGTCCTCCGAACATGGCGGGCCATGCCCGGAACGGAACTCCGATCGGGCAGTTGCAGCTCGCTTCGCAACTGCGGCACGGGTCGGAGAACTGCTCGGGCGGGGCGTCGAAGAGACCGCAAATGAAAAGAGCGCGTTGGGAATGGGCGGTAACCGCGGCGCCTCTCACGAAAGACCCCCCCAGTATGTTTGTTCTGCTTGCGTCATTTTCGGTTGGCGAGGGTCGGGGGCCGCGTGCCTGGTCATTGCGGCGAACCCGAGCACCGCGGCAAGATTCCTCTCGGACGCCCCCTAGCGAAACCGCGCGATCGCGAGGGCGTGGGCGGCCCCAACGACGCCTTCCGCAACTGCGGCCTCAGAAAGGGGCCACAGAAAGGGGCCAGTTTTGTTGAAGAGCTCCCCCATCCTCCAGCAAGGCTCGTCGGCGATGTTGGACCCGTTGTTCTTCGCGGCGATGCCGTCCAAGACGGCCCCGCGGGGCGCCCCCCGAAGGGGCGCGGGGTCCGCTGGCGCAGTCTCCCCCCGAGGCCGCAACACCTCGACGCCCCGCGCGACGATGAGCGCCCCCGCATGTTGCGCATCGACAGCGGCGAACGCGTCCTTCGGCCGCGGCAGTGGCGACCACCGCGTTCGCAGCCGTGGCGAGAGTGGACGGCGCCTTGTTGCCGCCCTCTGTCCTGGCGAGCCCCTGGTTCCAAACGGTCGCCCCCCCCGCGCAGCTGGTGCCCTGGGTCCGCTGCTTCTTGCGCGGTGGCTCCGCGCAACCCCGCAACTGCGGCTCCGACGAAAACTCCGCGCTATCCTGCGACTGCGGTTCCGACGGACGCCGCCGGGGAGGCGGTGGAGGAGGCGGCAGAGGAGGCGGCCTCTTCTTCGAGGGCGGAGCCTTCGACGCGGCCGCCAGGGCCTGGTCCTCGTGGGCAGCCGCCGAGGCGGCAGCGGAGGCGGCCTTCTCCTCGGGGGCAGCAGCCGCGGCGGCCGTCTCCTTAGCAGCGGCCTCGTCTTCGGCCTCTTCACTGTCGCCGCTCAATTCCCCCAGCGCGCTGTCATGGAAGCTGGGCGAATGCGAAGAGGGACCTACTCCCGCAACTGCGGCGTGAGCTCCCGCGTCAACAGGACTAAGAGGTACTTCAACAACTGCGGTCTTGGCGGAACCTCCGGCAACTGTCGGCGCCGGGGCCCGCGCGCGCAACTGCGCTCTGGGAGCCCCATGCGCGCGGCGCAACTGCGCCTTCGCGCGCCTTGGGGCACTCTGGGGCCGCTCGCGCGGCTTCGACGCGGAGGGGCCTGCGCCCGTCGGCGGCCGCCGCCGCCGATCCCTGCTGCTGCTCGACGCCGAAGTCGCCTCGCGCGGCGCTCGCTCGGAGGATCCGCCACTGCGCCTTTCCCCCCCCCGAATTCTGCGCGGCGCTCGCTGCGGGGGTCCGCCGCTGCGATTTTCCCTCCCCCCGCGGCGCGCTTCCAGGCGGCTCCTCAGCTCCGCCAGCTTCTGGTCATGGGTCTCTTCCCGCTTGGGCACGGCGCCGCGCGAAGCGCGCCCCCCGACGGATGCCCGGGCGCGGCTGCGGCGAGAGGGCGAGAGAGGGCGACGAGCGCGAAGTCCAGGATTGGGGCGGAGAGGACAGCGAGGGGGGCGACGGAGGGAACGAGGTGGACAAGGCTGACCTCAAGGACTCAAGCGACGCGGGACAGGACTGCGAAGGAGGAGGGGGATGGGAGGGAGAGGCGAAGGGGAAACAAGAATATATGGAAGACGACAAAGTAAGACAAGAGGACCTGATAGTGACGAATGGGAATCAACAGGAGATCGGCGACGACATAAGAGTAATTAGCCTAAGATGGCCCGCGCAGCTTTTCTTCGCGGCTCTTCGCTCGAGCAGCCGCGCGGCGCCATTGCGGTTCCGCCTGCCGCAACTGCGGACAAGCTAACGCAATTGCTGACAAACTCAAAGGACGTGAAGCGCGGACGAACCGCCTGCGGAGCTCACTCGCGCGAGCGCCGCAACTGCGGACGGCTGCGCGCGCCGCGCGACGGGGGCGCCGCAACTGCGGCCGAAGACGCGCGAAGAGAGCGCAAGGATCGCGATGCGACGCGATCGCTTACCGCGACTGCGGTTTCAAGCCCTCGTCCACCACGGTTGTAGCCCAGCTCCGTTGGTTGCGTCGATCCGCCCTGGAATTGGCTTGGCGCGCAATCTCTTGCGATATGAAAACGCGCCGCAGCCCGCGCTCTTGCCGAGGCGCGCCCCCGGGGGCTGCGCGGGCCCCCAACCTCGTAGAGGCCAAACTTCGGACTGGGCAATTTCGGGCGAGCGCGAATGCCTGAGCTGTCATCGCGGATGAGGGCGAAATCCCACGGGGGCAAGCGGACTGCCTGCGCCTCTCCCCTGCCCACCCCTTCGGGGTGCCCGTTGTGGTCGTGACTGCCCGGGCATGGGCGAACCTCTCGCCTGACAAATCCGCGACTGCAGTCGTTGCCAGGGCCGCGCGCGACGCGCTGCGTTGTAGCCGCGTCCATCTGCGGGGCCAGCTGCAGCCGAGACCACGAGCCCAGGTCTGTGCGGTCCCGCTCCCAGTTCCTGTTGTCCTTCGCCCTTCCGCTCCCTTTGAGCTTGCTAATGCGCGAAATCTGCTCCGCAACTGCGGGGTCGAAAACAGGCGTTCGGCTGTTGAAGGGGTCAGCTGCGTCTTCGTACTCGTCGCGGTAGTACTTCAAGGCCGCGCTGTGCTGCTTATAGTTGCCATGCCAGCGCGCAGCGTAGCTTTGGAAGTACTCCAGCTTGTACACCCCTCTGTCTACGAAAAAAAACACTCCAGGGCGGCCTGCGTCCGCAACTGCGGCATCTCCTCGCCCTGTGGGGTCACCCTCTCCTTGGACATGCGCCACTGCGCCGCTCCCCTTGCCCTTCGCGTCGTCTGCCGCTCGCCCCGCGGGGGCGCCCTCTCCTTGGACATGCGCAACGGCGCCTTGCCATTGGTTTTCGCGGCCGCCCTCCCCGCTCTCCCCAGACGCCGTCTTCCCAGCCGTTCCAGCGGCCGCTTTCCCATCCGCTCCAGCGGCCCTGCCCGCGTTCGCCTGCGCCCTCTCCTCCACCGCTGGCGCGGCCTTCCCAACTTCCACTGCCGCCGTGAGTTCCGCCGCCACCCCCCTCTCCGCCACGGTTGCCGCGCCGACCTCCGCCGCCGCACTGCCATCCGCGACTGCGGTCGCCTCCGTCGCCGTTTCCCCGCCCTTCCCTCTGCCATGCGCCACTGCGCCAATCTCCGCCTTGCCGTCCACCAGCGCAGCCACCCCCGCCGCCCCATCCGCCGCCGCGGTCGTTCCACCATCCACGAGCTCCCCCATCGTCGCCCCTGCCCCATGGAGACTCTGCAACTGCGGCCCTCCTCTTCTCTGCTTCCTCCTCAGCCCCGTCGCGCATATCCGCCAGTTTGTGCAAGTCTCTGTCCATCCTGCACAGGCGCGAACCCGCGCCGCCGCCGACGCCGGCGCTGCCTTGAGCCGAACGGCACTGGAGGAGGAGGGCGGGAGGGATAATACAGTGAGGAAGATCGCGGAAGGGTCGAGAACTCACATTTCCAGGGCGCCCCCCCCCGCGACCGTTTCCTCGCGGCGGGGGGGGGGGCCAGGATCCAGGGGAGGTGGTCAGAACGCGCCCCGCCAGAGGCCCCCCCCCCCCCCCCCGCGACCGCTTCCCGCGGCGGGGGGGGGGGGCGATCCAGAGCCCAAAGGAGGAGATGGTCAGAACGCGCCCACCAGAGCGCCCACCCTGCGACCGCTTGCCGCTGGGGAGGGGGGGGCGCTCCAGAGCCCACAGAGGAAGGAGAGGGAAAAATAAGAAGTGAGAAGTGAACGGAGAGTGGAAGGGAAAAGTATGAGAAGCATGAGTAGTGAGGGAGGAAGGAGGGAGGGAGGAAACTGGTGAGAAAACGCTCCGAAAACGACCCGTTCGATTTTGAATAAATCCCTTTCGATCGCCGCAACTGCGGTTTTGTTGCCCCGCTGGGCCTCAAGGGGTCGAAACTGACGAAACAAACCTCGCCGATCCTTCCTCGAACCACTCCTCCTCCTCCTCTTTGTCCTCCTCCTCTTTCCCCCCTTGGGCACGGCGTGCCGGCGGAGATGAACCATCGGCGCACCTTGCAACCGCCCTCTCCTCACCTTCCTCCTCCTCCTCCTCCTCCTCCTCCTCCTCCTCCGCTCCTCCTCCTCCTCCTCCTCCTCCTCCTCGTCCTCCTCGTCCTCCTCGTCCTCCTCGTCCTCCTCCTCCTCCTCCTCCTCCTCCTCCTCCTCCTCCTCCTCCTCCTGTTCCTCCCTGCGCTCTTCTGACCACATATCCGCATCGTTCAAACCAGTCCCGGGGGACTGCTCTGAACGTTGCCATTCTTCAAAGCAGTCCTCCGCGAAAGTTTTGAATCGTCGTCATTATAAGCGTTTCTGGATTACGTTTGGTCCGGCCGCGGCCCAGCCACAGGATGATTTCGGGACACCCGCGGGACACCGGTGGGACACCGCGGGGCACTGGCCACTGGAGGAATGACATTTGGTCCAGCCGCGGCCCAACCACAGGAGGATTTCCTCTCGCCCGCCCTTGCAGCGTCGCCTCGCCCGCACGCACGCACAGCACGCACGACACGAACCCGAACCCGAAATCGATTTCCCAGTAGAGGGGTTCTCCGTTTCACGTCGGACTCACCCCAACCTCCGATCTCCAAGATTGATCAGCCCAAGTGCGATGCGAATCGCAGAGATGCGCCCCCAGAAACTGAGGGAATCCTCAAGATCGGCACCGAGATCGGGTGATGCCAACCATAGGGATAGAGGGGTCTGTTCCAGGCTGGTAATCTTAGTCAGACGCTCGTTCTTGGGACCTTCCTGGAGGCACTCGCTCCACTCGTGCGCCGATGCTGCGTCGAACGCCTGTCGAACTTGCACCGGGCTCGAGGCGAGCTGGACCCGAGCCGGAGTCGAGCTGGAGCCGATGAGATCCTTCCAGCGAGCCCGAGGGTGCCCCCAAAAGCGAACACCACGACGGGTCCTGGAGATCCCAAACCCAAACATATCGTGCTCTCCTGGGGGCGCCTCCGCTTCCTCCCGCGGGCTCCTGCCAGCTCCCTGCAGGCCCCCGCCGTCGGAGGCGGCCTCCTCACTACTTCAGCGGGCTTCCGCCGCCCTCCCTTTTTTTCAAAGCACTGCGCCCAAGAGCCTGCAGGAGGACGCCTAACCGAATACCTTCGAGAATAAACACTAGGGGATAATACAGTTCGGGGTTCAGGGGGAGATAATCAAAGTAGCCCACCAGACCTCAGCATAATCTCGAAGTAAGAGATGATCAAGAGGAGACCAAGCCGAGCACGTTTTGAGACATCCTTGGCGTTTAGTCTCCATAGAAATATCCTCAACAATGGTTTATCTCGCTGGAGACATCCTCGACAAATCCCTCGATAATAAATGAGAAGGATAAAGAGAAGAGGAAAGGAGGATAAAACAACAAATCTGAATATTCAAATGTATTAAATTTTATTTACAAGCGCTTTATGAAAATTAGAATGTTTAAGTGCTCGTGTAGGGTAGCTCACGTGCCTCGTTTTCCCTGGATAATCAACCCCAGCGATGAACAAGTTCAGGGCGCCAGGGGGAGGAGGAGGAGAAAGAGATAGAGAGACAGAGAGAGAGAGAGACAGAGAGGCCAGGAAGGAGAAAGAGATAGAGAGACAGAGAGAGATAGAGAGAGAAAGAGAGAGACAGAGAAAGAAAGAAAGAGAGACAGAAATAACTACAAAGAGACAGAAGGACATTGGTTTCGCTTGAGACATCCTGAAACAACGTGTTCGCTTCGCTTGATGTTGTTATCTCAACATAAGAAGGAAGTAACTTCGATGGCGAACTTTCCCCGTGATAATGAAGTTCGGCCTCCGCGCCCCCGCGCCCCCGACCAAACTCTTATTGGTCGACGATAAAAAACTCGAACGACTTAATGGGGGGGGTCACTTTATTCTCATCGGCATGCGGTTAGTGGGGGGTCTGCTGAAACCTACCGAAGCCGGCGCGTGAAAAGCCGATTCACCACACGAGTTGGACCCTAGACGGGGGCGCGAGTCGAGACGCGGGCTGCCACGACTCCACACTCACGCGCCCCCGCCGAGGACGAGGTGATAGCTCCTGCCGAGGACGAGATGATAGCTCCTTTCGACCCTCGAAAGGCCAGGGCGTGCCTCATCCGAGCGCGGGGGACTCCAAGAACACCCCCAAAGCTGCTGAGGCGAAGCCAGGACGACGACAAATCCGGGTGAGAATCGGGCCGGGCGAGAGGGGGGGATAGCAAAGGGGGGGTTTGAGAATCAGATCACTTACCTGATTTTCATGGCGCCTCCCGGCGCCGGAGGCGACTATGTATCGAGGAATGGGCCCCTCGAGGTGGGGCCGAAACCAGCTGCATGCAGCAGATTTCGTAACCCTCCCTTTCCCAATCCCCCCCTTTCGTCCGGCCCGAGAGAACATGTCGAAGATCTCTGAGATCCAGCGGCTCTGGAGGATGTGTCGGGCGCCGCGGCCTTCTCACAGCGTTCCGGAACGCTCTGAGAGCGCTCCGGAACGCTCTGGAACTGATTTCTCCTCGTCCCGGCCACGTCCCCAGACCCCCGAGGTCATGGTATTTGTCATGTCGTCGTCCCTGGAAGTCTCGGCCCATTCCCGGGGACCAGCTTTCCATCCTGAGTCGTTTTTTGGACGTTCCCGAGGCCAGGTCAGGGCCCGCAGAGGCCCCGAAATAGCGAAACAACTACCGACGTGATGTTTGTCATGGCTCGAGGGGGTAGGAGGAAGAGGTGGAGGAGGAGAAGAAGGAGAAGGAGGAGGGGGAAGAGGAGGAGGAGGAGGAGGAGGAGGAGGAGGAGGAGGAAGAGGAAAAGGAGGAGGAGAAGGAGGAGGAGGCGGAGGAGGAGGAGGAGGAGGAGGAAGAGGAGGAGAAGGAAGAAGAGGAAGAGGAGGAGGCCGCCCCTTTCGAGGCGCGCCGCTGGCCTGCGCCTGTCACCACGCTCGCCGCAGCCTGCGCCGCCGCGTCCGGCATCGCCTCGTCGGGCGCTGCGCCGGAGGCGGGCGCGGGGGCCGTCGCCGCCGGGGCGGGCGCGGGGGCGGCTGCTGCGGTCGGCTCCTGAGGCAGGGACGCAAGAGAGGAAGAATTCGCTGGGCCGCGGTCGGCCCCTGAGCGGGGAAGCCAAAAGGTACCCATAGACCGGAGCTCCCCGGACCTCTCCCAGGGAGCGCTCTGACCAGGACTTCGGGGCGAGTCCAGGGGTGGCGGCGAGGGAGCAACGGGGGAGGGACAGCAGTGATTATGGGTACCTTTTCCTCCTCTGGCTGACGCAGGGACGAAGGGCAGGAGGAATTCGCTGGAGTTCGCTGTGGTAATCGCAGTCCGGCTATACAGCGAGCTTTTGGAAGAGAGGCCCAGGTGGACCGCCTCGGAGGCCAGCTTCCCGCCTGATGATACCGTCCTCGCGGCCCTGCGTGGCACCACGTGGACGAGGAGGAGGAGGCGGAGGAGGAGGAGGAGGAGGAGGAGGAGGAGGAGGAGAGGAAAGAGGAGGAGGAGGAGGAGGAGGAGGAGGAGGAGGAGGAGGAGGAGGAGGAGGGAGGGGGAGGGGGAGGAGGGGGAGGAGGAGGAGGAGGAGGAGGAGGAGGAGGAGGAGGAGGAGGAGGAAGAAGAGGAGGAGGAGGAGGGGAGGAAGACGAGGAGGAGGAGGAGGAGATACCACGAGCATGTCTCAACATAACGATCCGATCTCATGAGTTTGCCTGACTTGCGGGAGGGCAGGCTTACCCTGAAGCCTGCCAAATTGCGAGCCATGTTTGACCATGTGGCATGTGGCACGTCACATTAGCCACCATGCGTGTGAGTGGTTTCATTAACTTGGGCACAGTGGATGTATGACGTATACGAACATAATCTTAAGCTGCTCGCAGCGGAAGCATGTAAAGTATATCCCAGCCGGTACGGATGCCTGGTGTGATTGAGTTCCTATAAGACGATAGTGTTTGATACAGAGCACGCGATCCCACATGATACAGAGCAGGCGGCTTACCACGCTCCATGTGCCCGAACGTCTCGAAAGACTCCTTGGGCCTCCCAAGACTTTCCTAAGCCGCTGAGGGCCCCCAGCGTCCCCTCAAGGCCGCGCCGTAGAATCGCCCAAGATGGTCTACAGTGGCATCCGACAGCGCCTCGCAAGAGCGCGAGAAGACAAATAAGCTATAGCTGTGTCATGTCGCGTTCCCCTGCCACTTGTTTCGAGCCTAAGAAGCCCCTGTGTGATCTCCACGATTGCCTGCGGAGGCCCCGAGCGTACAACGTGGTTGCTCAAAATGCCCCCGAGGCGGCCCAAAGACGCCCCCGTCGGACCTCGCGAACGCCAAATGCGAGGCCCCAAGTCCTAGATGCCCAACCATTATCGCCCACGGCTGGCAAACACGGCCACAACGTATCCCCGCGATGGCTCTCATACATTGAACTCCGATCTGCCCGTGACGCGACCCACATCCAATTCGCTCAGACGCGATCCTCGACCGCTTAACCCGACGCGACAACCCAACTCGATATTTCTCGTGAAGAAGGGCCCGCAACCGATCGACCTGGGTGGTCTGCCTCTCTTGCTGGACAGCCGCGGCGCTACGAGTGACGAACCACACGTCGTAGCGCCCGCGACCTCCCGTCGGCTGCAGCCCGCGCGCGGATCCCACTCGCTCCTCCCTCGCAGACCGCGCGCAGCTCCCGTCGCCCAACCGTCACCAGGCTTGCGTTTCGCTGGTGGGTGTGGGGGTGTGGGGAGGGGAGGAGCGCGCTGCATCTGGGACCGCTTGCATTGTATCGATCAGGTTCGGGCCAGGGCAGAATCCGCGCGCAAACAGAAAAGGGGGGCGCGCAGGCGTATCGCGGCGCATCGCATACGAGACTCGGTGCGCGCAAACATGTGGTCCTGACGGCATACTCCAGCGGAAACCACGCGTGCGCGCCATGGCCTCGCAATGGGATCACCGCAAGCTTCGAGACGCCAATCGATTGGGCTCCGCACGCGCTGCGCGGCTTACGGGATGCAGCGCACGCGGCGTAGCACAGTCTACGAGCTGCAGCTGCCGGGGTGCAAACTGCTGGGATGATTAAGTCGGGCGTGTCCCCCTACACGGGAATTTTCAACGACAAATGCAAAATACTCCACAAAATACTCCAAATGGCCAGAACATATCCCCAAACTAGCCCCCAGACTATGTTTTGAGTATTTCCCTACCTAGGCTCTGCCTAGAAGGGTTCTTACCCGGTATTCTTAAAGGGCCGGGCAGTGGGGCCCGCCCCGGGCGGTTCCCCCGGCATCCGCCCCGCGGTTCCCCCAGTGACGTTCCCTTAGCTTCGCGTTGCTTATCTCATCTTAGCTTAGCTTATTTCATCTTAGCTTAGCTTCATCTTAGCTTAGCTTAGCTTCATATAGATGTTGCTTTCCTAGATCCTCCAACTCCTAGGTAGGGTCGCACTGGGATAATTTTGGACAATTCCCCTGTAGAGGGACAGGCCAGACTTAAAAACTGCTGGGAGCGATGTGGGGGGCGCAATTCGCTAAGGCGCTGGCTGCGGGGCGAGGTCTGCGGAGCGCACGCAGGTCCACGGCTGGAGCCCCCCCATGCTGCGCAGCCTGCGGGGCGGCGCCCGCGGGCGGCCACCCTTCGGAGGGGCGCCGTGCGCGTGGTCTTTAACGGGCGAAGAACGGTGTAACATACACTTTTTCGCCGTCGGGGGCGCCTGTCCGAGAGAATGGGCAACTCCTGTTTCTAAACGGTCACGACGATTCCAATCTCGTGAAAAGCGGGTTCCCCTTGCCAGAAAACGCTGGGCTTTACATGGGACGCTGTCTTTAACGGGCGAAGAACGGTGTAAAGTAAACTTTTTCGCCGTCAGGGGGCGCCTGCCCCAGGGCGGATGGGAAGTTTATACTCTTACGGTGACACCGTGGGGGTATAAACTTTCCAGTCGCCCAGGGGCAGGTGTCTCCGACGGCGGAAAATTTATTTTATACTGTTCTTCGCTCGCTGATCTGTCTTGTTGGCGAGGCTGTGGTGGATGCCGGGTGAGGGCCTCACTGGCGTTGAGTCGGGCCTGTCCCCCTACAGGGGGATCTGTGGCGAAAGATTAGGAATAGTCAAAAAATACCCCCAGATACTCAAAACTTGTCAAAAAAAATCGTCCCCGGACAACTTTTTCACTAATTTTGAATATCCCCCCTGTAGAGGGACAGGCCCGACTTAACACTGGCGGGGTCCCGTTTCCGGAAAACTGCGTGGATCCAACTGCGGGGGACTTCCAGGCGGGAGCAGCCAGTGCGCCTCCGCTGGCAGGCTGCCAGCAGCGCATGCAGTGGCACCGCAGCGCACGGGCTGCAACGGCACCACAACGGCACCTCGTGCACCTCACGCAACGGCACCTCCACGGGACCTCAACGGTCTCTCTCGCTCTCTCCTTCTCTTCGGCGAGCGCCGAGCCGCGATTGCTGCGCGCGGGCACCCACCCCATCCCAGCCAAGACCTCGCGAGGGCTGGCGCAGGCTCAGCCGTCGCTGCCGCCGACGCCGTCTGTGCGCGCCTCCGGGCTCGCGCGGCCAACGCTCGCCGCGCCCGTGCTCATATTCGGCCCGCGGTGCGCTTGCCCCGAGAGGCTGCGTTTGACCCGCTGTCCTCCTCCTGCCAGGAGGTGCGCGGGCCCCGCGCTGCGCGCGCCCGCGACCCGCTCAGCTGCAAGCGCCCAAGGCTGGCTGCAGTTCGCGATGTGCCCTGGCATGCTGCGCGCGGCAAGCGCACCGCGCCGGCGCGGAGAACGCAGCCGCCTTGCCCCAGGCGACGCGGGCGGCGGCTTCAGAACTGGCAGAAGCAGGCGCAGGGGCAGGCCACACCAGCAGCAACGTCAACAAGCAATGCCGTTGCCTTAACAAACTGCCTGGCGAACGCTGCGCTCCTCATGATCCGCTGCGCGCCGAACTCGAACGCGCGCCCGGCACCGTGCGGCTGCACCCAGCCTCCCAAGGCGGCGCGAGGCTCACTTGTCCTTGTAGCCGCATTCTCCTCGCCGCAGCAGCGACCGCAATAAGCGCGGGTGCCGTCGCTGCCTGAGCGCCTGCGCCAGCGCCAAAAACTGTCAGGAGAAGCGATTTGGGCGATCGGCGCCAGAGGCCCAAATCGATCGCGGAATGACACGGACACATCCGGCGCCCCCGCGCGCCGGGGCGACCCGGGCGCGACCTCGTTCGACCGCCGCCGACAACCCCCCCGTTCGCGAGGTATCTGGAGCTCGTTCTGGCCAGGACTGCCCGAATGGTGGCGGCGGTGCCGCGACGGCGAAACCACAAGCACCGCGTGCCTTTCCAGCGCGGCCTCGCCGGACAGGCTGGGCTGTGTCTTTACGGCTGACGCTGCTGACGAAAATTAGCGCGGCCCAAGTCGTACGGGCTGCCAGCGGTGGCGTTGCTGCGACACCTACTGCTCGCGGGTGGCCCTTTTGCCAGTACCATTGACGATTCGGGCATCCCTGATGCTGTTTCAGAGACTGATGCGGATGCTGTTGCTGAGGCGCCAAATGGTAATGCGGTGGCTGGTGCGGCTGATGTGGCTGCTGGCATTACTGCCGCTACCCTTAGGTAGGGCATGTCCCCCTACAGGCGGACCTTGGACGAAAAATTAAAAATACATCCCAAACATGCTTGAGAGTAATCGACCAATCATCGACAAATCGTCCCCGGACTACTTTTAGACTATCTTTGGAGCATTCCTCCTGTAGAGGGACAGGCCCGACTTGACGCTACCCTGCCGGAGCAGGAGCGCGGCCAGAGCCGAGGCGAGAGGAGCTTCCTGCAGCCAGTGTATAGCCGCCGCTCCGAAGCACGAGCGCGGCCGGCTCGGACATGCGCGTGAAGCCGCGGCTCCGAGGCAGGAGCGTGGCCAGTGCGGCAGCGCCGCGCAGAGGCAGCACGGCGCCTGGAGCAGGAGCAAGGAGCGCCGCCCCGAGGCGGGACAGCGGCCATGGGCAAAGCCAAGGCACAAGCCGACCAGCAAATACATTGCGGCCAGCGGCTTGGCGAGAGCTCCTTTCAGAGACAGGAGTGTGCCCAGCGCAGCGAGAGTGCGGACAGCGCCAATGCGGGAACAACACCCTGATGAAGAAGGGCTGTCAGAGTGAGGGCGAGAGCACGTTGCCCGCGCTGCAACGAAAACACTATTCTGGAGATGGGGTGCACACCAAGACAATGTCAACAAAAATTGGCACGCCCTTCAACCAGTCGCTTGCTGGAAAAATCGCCAGGTACCTCGTGAGCTTCGAGCTGCCGTTGACGATTGAAAGTGCAGAAAAAGCGCGCAAGTTGTGTTCTATCTTATACTATTTCGATGTAGCCCGAACGTCACAACGACGGTCGGGGGACAAACTTCATATCAAACTCTCGGCAGATCCCTGGAATGCGGGGTACTGTTGCAGACTCGGCTGTAGCAGGAAGTCCTCCCGCCCGCACAGGTGCCAAATTCTTCACCAGCTCCGATGTGTTAGCTTTTCCCTCGTGGCGTGTGCAACGAGATGGTTGCAATAGTTTGCAGCATGCTTTCCTTGTGAGGACACCCCATCGAGGGAGCCCTTTCGAGACGCACATCGTGCTGCCACTTCTCGTGGAGAAGCAAATTCAAAGGCCTTCTATGGGGGGCTCCGTGGTAGTGGGATAGAACACCTTTATGCGCTGCCCTTTGGCTGTGACGATGCCTCGGGCGGGTTATGAACGGCGGCGGGAGTACGACGAGGCGGATGGGGTATGGTAAGATGGAATGATGTGGCAAAGGCGAGATGGAGTGGAACCGTAAGGGACAACATGAAATGGAGCGACGAACACGAAACGCCAGGCGGCTGGACGAGGCTTGGCACTAAGGCGCAGCGTGGAGGAATGAATGAATGCCCTCTCGGAGCCCCAGGCTCCAACTCCCCAAACTCCTCGAGCGCTTCCCGACGCTTTTCGGCGATCTTGGGGTTCAGGTGGTGACTTCTCTCGAGACCCTGGGGCTGCAATTGTGAGCCCATGCTTTCTGGGTGACCGAAACTTACCCCCAGTGGCTGTCTTCGGGGCCAAGAAGCCCCCAAGGGACGCCCAAGAGAAGCCCACGAGGGGGGGATTCGAACGGTTGTCTCGCTGGTGTTGTTCCCCGACACGGTCCCCGTGGCCGCCGACAGGCCCAAAAGAGACTACCTAGTGGGCTCCAGAGGTTCCAAAGAGGCCCCCAGGAGACCCCCACGAGGCATCCACATGATCCCACAAGAGGCCCAGAGAGGCCTCCAAGAGGTCTTCCAAGAGACCAAAAGAAGAAAACGAAGATCCCCTTCTTCTCGACCTGGGCAAGTTGGCGAGATTGGCGGAATGCCACTAAGCTTATACACAACGCAAGTTTCACGGCGTGCCCTGGCTTTCGACAAATCTCTACTGCACACCGCTTCTCCACCCTGTCCTCCGCACCCTCCGATGGGAGAGGAAAAGAGAGGGACAATCGCGCTTCGGTGAGGTATCCCGCCCTGGAATCCTTCGCCTTCGCCTTGGCGACCATCACGACCACAAATTCCCCTTCCTTGATGGCTGAAGCCTCGACCGTGGCGTCATCAGTCAAAATCTTGCCTTTGTAAATGAGCTTCTGAATTTCTGCCGGCATTTCCGCCTTCAACTCGGCGATCTTCTGCTTCAGTGCGCCGATGGAGTCTTGCGGGCTCACCTCGACCTTTGAGCAACTAATAGTACCCCGCTGGGCGAATAGACCTACACATTTCTCATCTTGTCGGCCGAGCACAAACGCCAAACCGGCACGCGGACCCAAACAGTGACACAGGTAACTGCCATGATGGCGCCAACGGTGAAGACTAACAATCTTCAAGAAACAACTCTAAAACCATGCTGCGTTGAGGAAACCAGGGCAAGGGCCGAGAGATGACATCGGCGGGACGAGGTATCACCACAGGGGCCAGGGGCAACCGTGCACAGAACGGAGAATTACAGGGCTGAGCGGTAATTCGGACGACGGCGAATCTTTACATGTATATATATATATATATATATATACCGACGCCAGTCCTGGCTGAGCCCATCCCGGATCCAAGATCGGCGTATACCCTCATCAAGCTATTAAAGACCCCCCCGGGGTTATCATTAGAGCAACTCTTTTTTCACATTGCAGGGACACGGATCTGACGAAAGCCTCGAGACGTCCAGGCCAGAGGTTAGAGTCGATGCACGCTCTCACTCCTCCCAAGGTGGGAGGGTGGGAGCCGAAGACAGGCTATGGAGGGGAGGGCGGGGACAAGTGAGAGAAAGCATCCCGATGTTTAAACTTCCTTGGATCGTTTAGCAGGTGCTGACATCACCGAATTCAAAAAGCCCAAGCTCAAACCGTTCAAGAACATATAGAGCAACTCTTTTTTTCACATTGCAGGGACACGGATCTGACGAAAGCCTCGAGACGTCCAGGCCAGAGGTTAGAGTCGATGCACGCTCTCACTCCTCCCCAAGTTTCCCGAATACGGGAGTTCACTAGGGTTGGGAAGGGAGGGATGTCGAATTGTATCCGAACGTGGCAACGCAAGCGGCAGTGAGTGCCCGAACTATACAGTGTGCGAGCTCAGGCGGGTAGGCGGCCGCTGGGCGGGCGCGGGCGCTTCCTTCGAGTTGAAAATAAGGCAAGCCTGACCGCGAGCACTGTCCTCTCTGACCACTGCATTTTCTGCAAAGATTCTTAAGATCGTCGACTGCTACGTGACAGAACATGAGGCGAGTTGGTTTCTTACATTGGGCTCTGACTTGGCACTGATCTAGTTCGACTAAGCTGACATGCGGCAAGTTGGCTAAAGCTTGGATCTCTGCGGTGTGCCACAGACGAGAGGTGAGCGGGTGCTCAAGAACAGCAGGGATCTTGAGCTGATGGAAAAGAGCGAACAGGCCTATGGCGGCGTGGGCAATCCGATTGCCCACCTTGAGTTTCTCTCGGTCTGGTGCACTGAGCAACTGGCCGGGCAAACCCCAGGGCAGATCTTGGGATCGGATCTTTGCCGTCCGATCTCGCGCGATTGAGAAAGTTTGGCACGAGGGGGCCAAAGCTGCTGCCAGGATAAGGCCCCGACGGGCGTCGCGTCGGATCGCCCTGGGGACCTTTGGATCGACAAGATTCTGCCAAACAGGATCGTGGGCTACATCCCAACTGCGTGTTCTAAAGCCTAGCTTGCCACCTGCTCGCGAGATGCAACGGCTTCCCGCGAAAAAATCTGCTACGTACCGGCCTCTGAAGCCGAAACGCTGCGCAGCGAGGCGTCTCTCGCGACAGCCGCGGAAGCTCCGCCTTAGCTTGGCACGCGCGACTGCCAGGTCAGCATTCGACGGCTGAACTGGACTGGGTGAGCTTGCCCTAGCATGATCCTCATCAGATGGACCTCGCAAGCCTCGTACAGGCGTCTCTGGTCCGCGGGAAAGCGCTCGTACTCGGCGCTCAGACGGCTGCTGTGCTCGTACCTGTGCATGCTTTTCGCCTGAGCCCAGCAGCCGCGCCTTCGAATCTCCTCTAGGCTGCGCGTGCGCCTGCTGGCGTCGATGCTCGCGCCTGAGTGGCGGAGCTGATGCAGTGTCAGCTTGCCAACCCCGACCTCGGCCGCTGCCAGCTGCACCGCCTGCGAGAGCTCCAGGTACGTGAAAGGCCACAGCTTGGTCCTGTCTCCGTGCCCTCTGAGCTCGGCGAACAGCGGACCCAGCCCCCGGAGGTAACTCGAGTCCAGGAGGCAGCCCTCGTCGTAGCGATTCGTTTTGCTTGGTCTGCCCTCCTCCTCTGGGTGCGTCAGAAGGCTCCAGCTGTCCACTGTCGCGCGCGAAGGCGGGACCATGTCGCACTTGCGGGCTGCCAGCAAGGAAGAGGGCCTTGACTAGGCAGAGAGGCCTACGGCCAAGAACAGCGCCATGAACGGGAGGCCCTTGTCCACCAGCCGCCACATCACTGCTGACCACACGGCGAGCGGCAGCGCTCGGCGGGTGCGCGAGGGCGTCAGCCGCCTCCACGCCTTGAGCGCTCGCCACGTCCGCGGCAGGGCTCTCCCGCCCCGTCGGCCGAAAGCTGGGTGTCGGTCGATGAGGGCGGCTCCAGTCTGGCCCCCCAGGCTGCTCTGCTCCCCGGACAGGTACATCGCGGTGAAGTAGTCGCACACCCAGCAATCCACGGTCTCGTCCGAGCTCCTCACGAGCTTGTCGTCGGTCAGGCCGGCCTGCGAGGAGAAACGATCGAGATGCTTGGCGTAGCGCTCCCTCGTCCGGCGAGTCACCGCCAGTCGCTCCAGCAAGGTGGGCCCACCGGCCATGGTCTGCATAATCATGTCCGCGTAGAGGGCCGCGCGGCGTCGGCGCCGGGAGTCCTGGAGGCGTCGAGACCTCCTCGAGGCCGCAGTCGCGTAGTTCACCGCGCTGTCGGACCCGCTCGACTCGCCTCCTTCCCTGGCGTCCGCCTCGTCGTCGCCAGCGCAGGCCGCGGGAGCGAGATCCTCGAGCGTCACAGGGGGCGGCAACGGCGGCTGGCGAAGGCGGCTCTCCAAGCGTGCCCTGACCGAGCGGGCGCCATGGCCCCCTGTCCTCGCGTCGGGGCGGGCTCTGGGACCACACGTCTCCGTCGTCACCTGGGGCCCCACCAGCACTCTCGACTTCGCCTTCGCTGTCGGTGGGTCTCTCCGGCAGGGCGGCGGGCCGACGCCAGGACGCGGCAGAACTCGCGACGGCGCTGGAGAGCTCGCCTGCGCTGGAGCCCGTGGCGGCCGCAGCGCCCGAGCACGCATCCGTCGGAACAGACTTTTCGGGCACGGAAGCGAGGAAAGCCTGACTACAGTTTGAGCCGAAACGACTACGGAGAGGAGAGATAGAAGAAGGAGCAGAGATCCTAACCTGCTGATCCAGGACATCGGTTAGCAACTTGGACGAAACTTCTGAGTGATCGCGGCTCCCGGCATCGCTCTGGTTAAACTCTGAGGGAACCCATCTACAGTGCGGGGCGATGCCAAGGGCAAGGGCATAGGCGCTGAAGCGTCGAATCTGGATTAAGAGCTTGAAGTCCGAGCGAGCGAAAGCAAGAACGACGGCCATGTTGTCACACAAGAAAAGCTGTCTGATGCAGGACCCGTGTCTGGTCCCGGCGAGCCTACGGATGGCCTTCACCAAGGCCCGGGCCTCCAGCGCCAAGATGCCCTCGCTAAGGCCCCAAACTCCCTTCCGGGCGGCTTTCCAGGACGAGCCTCGGAGGAGCTGCCAGGGGACTTCGGGAAAATCCGCAACGACCTCCCAGTCGCCTAACTGAGGCTCGTCTCCTAAAAGCTGGCTTCTCCACTCGCCTGACTCGTCACGGAAGAGGTGGGCAGAGGTGAGTGCGGATTCCCGAGCGGAGTGAGCACCGACACGCTTGAAACGGGAACGCTCACTGACACGACCGACGCCGGCGACCTGAGACGGCTCCCAGAAACTTTGGGCCATCGCCCAGCCCGCTAGGCTGGCGTCGGTTTCTAAAACGCAGGGGTTCCACGGCAGCCACCAGTCGCGGCCCAGAAGCAAAAGGACCCCTCTAAAAGCCACGAGCTCCTCGACCACTTCGGGCCGCATTGAGCCCACGTCAAAATACTGAACCGAAATGAACTTATAGACTGTGGAAGATAGAAAGGGACTCACGGGCAGCTAGACCGCAGAAAGTGCAATGTCCGATCACTTTTTCAAGAGCCTGGCCGCTGCAACGCCCCCGAGCGAGAAGGCCAGTCAAGCCCCGCTCGAGCTTCCAAAACCGGCTCGAGGTGATCCCCGAGCGAAGGCGAGCGCCGTCAAGCTCGGTGCCGAGAGCCTCGCCAGCGCCGCCGTGGGACTCAGACTCGTGGAGCGCCAGGCCGACCGGCTCGAACAAATCGCTCCACTCGGAGACCATCCTGTCGCTGAGGTCGGCATCGTCCGAAGCGGCGCCAAGGTTGTCCACGTACACGTAAGCACCTCCGACCCCGCGCGTGGCGGCACGTAGCACAAAAGCCTCGGCCTGATCCTGAATCAAGGGCTGTCGTCTGTCAGCTGGCATCGCCTTGCACAAGCTGGGGCTACGGCACACCCTGTCCTCATTCGCGGCCTGGGCCAGGTACGGCGACCACGTGAACCCCATCGGAAGCACGGCGAGGTAGGGCCGCACGGGGGCGTCCGGCGGAGCATCCGCCGGGACGCCGGCCACCTTAATCCCATCGAGCACGTGCTTCGGGACGGCGGGCAGGCAGAAGTAGCGGCCGAGGTCCTCGCGGACGCGCATTCGGTAGAAGCAGTCCTTCACGTCGGTGGTGGCCACGTAGACAGTGAAGGCATCCAGAAGCCGCTGCCCCTCAACTGATGAGGGCAAGACACCCAGCGGCAACTCTATCTCGATCCGGCCGAATCCCTCGCTGCTGAGAAGCTGCACACCTGGCGGCGTTCTGAAGTGGCCGTTGCTTCGCCTAGCATCGAGCATCATACGCTGAGCCCCGTTTGACTTAGCCACGAAAAACAGGCCCACCGACTCGGCGGGTCTGGCGGTTACTCCCAGAAGTCCACGTCCAGCAAGATCTCGCAAGAAGGTGCGATAAGATTTTGAATTCCTCTTCAGCACTGGGTCCATGTACAACCGCGGCATGCTGTCGAAGTCCACTGTCTCCGGCTCCAACCTCATTCGCTTGTGATTCTCCTCCAAGAACGAGCGGCACCCAGGGCTCACGATGTCCTTCCTCAATGATGCGGCAGTCCAGCACGCTATTGGGCAGCGAGACCTTGCCGGGCTGGTAGGAGACGAGGTTCATTGGGGCAGAGTCCGTCTCGTATACGGACTGCCCCCGGAGCATCTCCCTCAGGGCTGCCTCCGCCTTCGGCATCACCTCCGGAGCTGCGGCCTGTCGCCGATGAGCTTCACGAAGCAGGTGCTGCTGAAGGGCTGCATGCTTGTCCAGGGTTGTCGCGCCTGGACTCGGTGAAGCAGCCGCGCCCTTGAAGCCCGCCAGCCAGTTCAAGCTGCGGAGGGCGCGATTCACCAATTCCACCTCATGCTGCCGAGTGTGGGTCCTACGCTGAGACCTGCGTCCCCGAGCGGAGTCGCCCAGCGCCATCATCATCGGCACGGGAAAAAGGTCTCTCTCAAAATCGGACGGCGGCAGCGGCGAGGCGCGGGCCAGGTTGTGGTACCAGCCAGGGGGGGGCCCACTCCCCCGGCTGTGCCGTCTCGGTCATGACTGGACCGGCGGGGGGAGCCCTGGGGTGCGACCTCCGCGACCACGACCGCCGCGACCTCGCCCCTTGTCCCCGCCGCCAGTCCCTGTGGTGGCACCATCAGCGCCATGATGGGCTGCGGCAGACCCCGACGTCACACGAGCATCCACCGCCTCGGCCTTCTTCATAGACTGCTCGACCTCCCAGTCCTCCTTGGCGCGGCGGCTGACGTGGCTCCTCAGCGAGGGCGCCATCAGCTCATCAGCCTCGCCCAGTGGAGCCAAGTACTTGGCGTTGGCGAACGAGGGGGCACCCGCGCGCTTGCAGGCGTCAACGATCGCGTTGAGCCGGCGCACGATCACCTCCAGGCTGGCAAGTCCCCCCCAGGTTGACCTGGTCGAAGGACCCGGCCTCCTCGAGCGCCTCCACCAGCGGCCGAAGCTCATGTGCGACGCAGTCGGTGGGAGCGATGTTCTTATCGCGCAAGAACTTCTCGAGCCACGCCCGAGGGGTGCCTGCCGTGCGGCACATCATCTTGCAGGTGTGCAAGCACGTCAGGCCGCCCTCCAAACGCTGGTGGCCCCAGTCGTAGCTCAACGACTCGTTCACGGCCTTCCTGAACTCCTTGTATCGCTCGCCCTGGTCGCCCCACTCGACCCAGAGAGTGCGAGTGTCGTCGCTAGCGGCGTCAGCCAAAGCGACAGCCGACGGAGCACCATCTGGGGCGGGAGCGCCCTCGGCGCCACTGGCGGCGGCGTCATCCAGGGCGCCGTCAGGCGGGGAGGAGCCGAGCGCCGCCGCAGGAGCTGCCACCACCAGAAGGCGACTCAGCTCGGCAACGCGGCGCGACCTCCAACTCGCCACGTCGCACCGCGGCATCAGCTCCAGACGAAGCGCCCGGCCTCGCCGAAGCCAGAGGGCGTCCACTCCAGCGCCAATGAGCGTCTCGCTCGACGGGTCAACGATCGCGCCGATGTCCAGGTCGGCCACGGGCTCGGCCAGCGCCCAGACATGCCCTTCAGGAGGGGGCGTGGGCGAGCCCGCGGCAGCGTCAGCCAGAGCGCCGCCTACTCCGCCGTCGGTAACCGGCGGCGCCTGCTTCCCGCGGAGGCGGGGCGGGGGCCGCGTCGGCGCGGCCCACGGGAAGACGTCCCCGCCATCCAGCAGCCTACCCGAGGCAAGCTCCACATGGGCGGGCCCATCGGCAGCAACCTGCCCGCGGGCCTCCATCGCTAGTCGGCACTCGTCGGCCAACTCCACGAGCCTGGCGAGGGACGGCTGCTCACGGAAGCTGTAGAGCTTCCGACCGTCAGCAGGCGGGGCCCCACCGCTGGCGATGCGCTCACCGCCCGAGGGGCCGTCTGCGGGCGAGGCCCCCGAGAGCAGCTCCTCCCACAGGTCACCATCTGGCGAGAGGACCCAGTAGAGGTGCGGGTCCACCAACCCGCCATCCTCGACTCGACGCGAGGGCCAAACCACGACGCGCTCATGGTCCATGACGTCGCCGTCGTAGCTCACCCGCGCGCGAGCGCCGCTGGGAAGATCAGCGCACCACCCCTCCCCCGCGGGCAACGGGGGCAGGGCCGCCAGGCGTCCGCGCCGGCGCGACATTGTGCCTAGGCCACTGGCGGCTCGGGCAGCAGTTGAAGCACCTCTCCGCCAACGCGATCCACACCGGCGCGAGGAGGCTCACCAGCAGATGCAGTGCCAGCGCCTCGGCGCTCAGCCCGTCGCCGACCTCGGGGCAGACGCAGCCGTCGTCTCCCGGCGGCGGTGGAGGCGGCGGTGGTGCGGCCGCAAGCTCCGAGAGCGCACGAGCCGCGGCCTCGGCGCGCAGCGCCGCCGACGAAGCCTCGCCGCAAGCGCGGGCGACCCCGTCGAGCCACAAAGGAACCTCGCTCGGCGGCTCGGGCCTGGGCTGTGGTGGACTCGCCCGCCAGCCAAGACCAGCGATCAGCGCCACGCACAAGGCCGGCAGCGCCGCAGGCACGCCAGAGGCGAGCATGGGGCGCGCCGCCCGTCCTGAAGCCGAAGACATGCTATGGAGGGGAGAGCGGGGACAAGTGAGAGAAAGCATCCCGATGTTTAAACTTCCTTGGATCGTTTAGCAGGTGCTGACATCACCGAATTCAAAAAGCCCAAGCTCAAACCGTTTAAAAACATATAGCACCGCTCCGCAAATAAATAATTATGGGGGGCGGTTTTCGCAGAAATATATAGTTCTCACCACGCAAATGAACGAACATAAAACAAATCCCGCGCCCTGGCTCGGGTGATATCCCAATTGGAATTGGAATAATAATAAGAAAAATGATGAAATGCGAGAAAGGTGCGAGGTGCAAAGGTAACGTTTCTGGGGTGCCGGGTGCGTTATACTTTCGCCGGAGAGGGGGGTCTTAATTGCTTCTCCGGGTTACTTCTTGCTTGCCCAGCCAGAGCGGCTTGTACACCGATCGTCGCTCCAAGGTGGACCTTGACAGGGCCGCTGGCGGCCTATAACTTCGTGGCTCCAGACGAAAGATCTCGGCTTATGTTGCTCCCTCCCATCGTACTTAAGGGCCGCATCCAAAAAATAATTTCGAGCACCCGGAAAAGTAACGAAACAGTGTCGAAAGGGCAGGTGCGCGATATTTCTTGGGGTGGTCATGGCTAAAGTGGGTTGGAACATCATCAATCTCGGCGATCAAGCGCGGTCAGCACCAGTGCCGCGACCTGTCCAGGGACGGGGCCAGAGGATGGAGACTGGCGGCACGCGGGGGCAGCACTGGAGCACAGGGCAGCCCAGGGCGGGGGTGAACGGAGGAGCCTGGCGCGCGCAGGGTCAGCACTGCACCAGGGCCAGCGAGAAGGTCGGGGACAAGAACGGTCGGTGGGAAATCGGTGGCCCTGTTTCAGCCTCCAGCGAAGCCCAGCTCAGCGGCTCAGGAAGACTCAGGAGAGGAGGAGCAGAGGGAGAAGGAACCAGAGGAACGACCCCAGCCCCCCGAGAGAGGCGAGAACTGATCTGTGGGCGCGGGGTCAGCACCAGAGCTGGGATCGGCAGCCGAGGCCAGAGCCGAACGGAGCGCATCGGCGGTCAGCAGCAGGACCCGGGACAGTCAGGGCCAGGGCCGCGGGAAGAAGACCGCGGCGCGGGGTCAACATTGGGACTGGGGCCGAACGACGAAAAAGCAGCGGCGCCGAGGGGGGGGGGTTCTGGGCCAGTCGGGGATGCAGGGCGGAGTGAAGGGAAACCTGCGTCACGCGGCGTCCGCACAAGCGCAAGGCACAGCCGGGGAGAGGGCCGAAGGACAGGGATCGGCGGCTCATGGGTAAAGGGGCCAGGGACACACAAGTAAATAGATACAAATCCGAAGCCTCCCCATATTGCCGCATATTTGGTGGGTTTTCGTCTTCCACCCCCCCTTCCCATATTGTCCAATATTTTCCTGGAAGTCGACGATTAATTATGTCTGCGTTTTTCCCCTCCTAAATGGGGCCAGCACAAGAGCGGGACAGTCCCGCACAAGGCGGAAGGAGGATCGGCGGCACGGGAGTGCAAGGCCTCAGAATATCGGGGGCGCGCATGCATGGATTAGCGATCCATGAATTGGCGCGCGGCCGCCAAATCCATGGATCGGGGGAGGTGCCCTCTCCAAAATGCGGCCCGTGCCGCTTCGCTCGGCAGCGGAGATCTGCAATTTCCCGTGGAGACGGGGCCCGTCGCTGATCCACGCCTCCTTGATCCATGTTTGCGACCGCCTGAGAACGCAAGCAGCATCCAAACAATGCAAGCGACATTCTTGGGGAACAGTCGTGGAGCCTGTTTTCTTCCCTGCCGTGTGGGCGGATAAATTTCCATAGTTGCGGACCTCGAAGGTCTCCCCCTTGAGCGGCTTCAGGGTCACCTGCATCTCGAATTGAACTGCTGATGCTCCAGCAGGGACTGGCTCGTGCCCAGTCTCGTCTGAGCCCAAATGGCTGCAACGTGACCAGCAATGCTGATTCATGAAGGAGGGATCGGACCATTTGATGCCAAAATCTTACCCAACACCTTCCAACATGGGGAGAACAGACTCGCGAGGCCCACCTCTGGAAAACGATGATGCTTCATAAACTGCGGCGCAACATAATGAACATACAATGCGAGACAACATGACGCCGGAAATACTTTGATAGGGACGCGCTTGACGACCGGATACTGCCAACATGTATTTACCTTTGCGAGCATAACTGCCAATGGACATGTTCGCCGAACTGACACGACCACCGTACATTGAAACGAACAGGCCGCAATTCACCGACTGGGCGGACGAGCTTGAGGTCCGAACATCTCCTGACAATGCCTCACACAACACATGCACAATTTACAAGCTCTGTGCGAAATCCTGTTCCCCTAAAGCCGATGCCAAAATCTGACAGGTGCACCTGAAAGGGCAGAGACTCACAGGGCCCCCATCGCTCCCAAAATTCATAGCGGGGAGGCTGCCCAGCCGATTCGAGGCGGAGGCGCACGAGGGGATCGGGCGAGAGAAAGGGGCGGAACAGGGCCAGTAGGTGCACGCGACGGGGGCAGCAAGCTACTCCGCGGCTTCATTCACATCCTAGTTGCAGACTCCTGTTGCAATAAACGTGTAAGGGAAGCGGTGGCTGGTCCACCAGGCTCCAACCAAGAGTTTGAATGGACCAGCGGAGGCCAGGGCCCTTATGCGCCAGGTACCCTCAGTGCGCTCCAGCGGTCAGCCTGGTCAGCTAGCGTCTCGACGATGGGTTTTTATCTTGTGAAAAAGGCACCCGGCTAGGGTCTCAGCAAACTTTTCAGGGTAGACAGGCGTGAGGCGAGGCGGAGAAAACTCTGTGGACACTAGCGCGCCTCTGATCGCATGCTGCCGAATCCTGTTCGTCTTTGGCGGCGCTCTTGGACGAGCGCCAGGTCTGCTGCGGGGGCACGGTAGCGAGCGCTGCCAATCGTGACCGGATTCTGGAACTCGTTGGTACTGCTAGCAAAGAATTATCCCAGCGCGACCCTACCTAGGAGTTGGAGCCCCTAGGACAGCAGCATTAGTAGTAACAGTAAAGCTAAGCTAAAGCTAAGCTAAAGCTAAGCTAAAGCTAAGCTAAAGCTAAGCTAAAGCTAAGCTAAAGCTAAGCGAAAGCTACGCTGAAGCTAAGCTAAAAATAAGATAAAGCTAAGCTGAAGCTAAGTTCAAACTAAGCTAAAGCTAAGCTAAATCTAAGTTAAAGCTAAGCTAAAGCTACGCTGAAGCTAAACTGAAGCTAAGCTGAAGCTGCGCTGAAGCTAAGATAAAGCTAAGCTGAAGCTAAGCTAAAGCTAAAGCTAAGCTAACGCTAAGCTAAGCCTAAGATACAGCTAAGCTAAAGCTAAGCTGAAGCTACGCTGAAGTTAAGCTAAAGCTAAGCTACAGCTAAGCTCCAGCTAAGCTCCAGCTAAGCTCCAGCTAAGCTAACGTTAAGCTAAAGCTATGCCAAAGCTGAACTAAAGCTAAGCTAAAGCTAAGCTAACGCTAAGCTCAAGCCAAGCTAACGCTACGCTAAAGCTAAGCTAGAGCTAATGTAAAGCCAAACTGCAACTAAACTAACGCTAAGCTAAAGCTAAGCTAAAGCTAAGCTACAACTAAGCTAAAGCTAAGCTAAAGCTAAGCTAATACCAGGCTGAAGCTAAGCTAAAGCTAAGCTAGAGCTAGGTTAAAGATAAGCTAACGCTAAGCTAGCGCTAAGCTAAAGCTAAGCGAAAGCTAAGCTAAAGCTACGATACAGCTACGGTGAAGCTAAGCTGGAGCTAAGCTGAAGCTAAGCTGAAGCTGAGATAAAGCTAAGCTAAAGCTAAGCTGAAGCTAAGCTGAAGCTAAAGCTAAGCTAGCGCTAAGCTAAAACTAAGCTAAAGCTAAGCTAAAGCTAAGTTAAAACTAAGCTGAAGCTAGCTTGACGCTAAGCTAAAGCTAACTTAAATCTAAGCTAAAGCTAAACATAAGCTCAAAGCTAAAGCTAAAGCTCAAGCTCCCAGAGGACTGGGGGAACCGCTCCCAGGGATCCTGGGGGAACCGCCTGGGGCGGGGAACACTGCCCGGCCCCTTTAAGCTAATAAAGTAAGAACCTTTTCTAGGCAGAGCCTAGGTAGGGAACTACGCAGAACACACTACGTAACACATACTGCGTTATCATAATTCAGACACATATAGTATATGTTACTAAAAACTGCTGCCAAAACAAAAAACGACGTAGAACACACTACAGACAAAAGCACAGCGGTAAACAAAAAAACAAATAACCCCGTAAAAAGCACTGCGTAACAACAAACAAAGCGCAGGGAACACTACGTAGAAAACACTACGCAGGAAACGCGACGTAGAAACGCCTACGCAGGAAACGCGACGTAGAACCCAGTATGTTAAAAACACAAATTTCGTAAAAGACACTGCGTGAGAAAACATTACGCAAGAAGCACTACGCACGAAACACTACGTAGGCAACACTACGCAGGAAGTACTACCACAAACATGATGCAAAATACACCACTCAATAAACACTACGTAGAAAGCACTACACAGGAAACGCTACGACGTAGAAAACACTACGCAGGAAATACCTCGCAGAAAACACTACGTAGAAAACACTACGCAGGAACCACTACGCAGAAAACGGTACGCAGGAAACAACACTACGTAGGAAACGCTACGCAACAAAACACTACGTAGACAACACTACGCAAGACACGCTACGTAAAAAAACACGGCGCAGGACACCCTGCGCAGGAAACGCTACTATTTTAAGGCGCGCAAGTGGGCTTGTGCAGACCAGTGCTTGGCCACGAAAGGTCCAAGATGCAACTCGCATCAGGGCTCACGCTGTCGCGCGGTACATCATCGCAGGTGAGATCTCGGAGATGCATGCCCCGTGGTGGCTCAGCCCGCTATCGACTGAGACATCTGCGCAACGCTGGCTCTGAATATGAGCTCGGCTGAGGTGGCCACGACACTGGAACCTGACACATCCTCGCAACGCTGGAATCCCACACACCCCGCCGCCCAATGAGACAATCTCGCAACACTGGGAGGCGAAGTTGTAAACCATTGCGGCCTTCAGTACCCCCGCAACTCTCAGTCCACGCGAACCCTGCCAATTGTGGCCTGGGCACGCTCGCCTAAGACATCCTCGGAACTCTGCGCCCCGGCATGCCTTGAGCCGACATGATCGGGCGACCCTCTCCGGAGACATCCTCGCAACGCTATTCAGTGTTGTGCCCCATAGTGGCCCAGCATACTTCGCACGAGACATCCTCGCAAATCAAATCTACAACATGCCTTGGGTTGAAGTGGACAGGTCGCTCCCGCGTGAGACATCCTCGCCACTCTGGCTTTCGAGGAACCCTGCCTTGAGATGATCAGGCAGCCTTCGCTTGACACATCCTCGTAATTATGAGTTCAACGACGCCTTGCCCTGAACTCAGATGGTCGGGCCACTTTCGCCCGAGACATCGTCGCAAACCTGAGTTCGGCGATGCCTTGACGGAGGCTGGTCTCGGCCACTTTCGCTTTGCACGCCCTCGCCACAACGGTGTCCGACGAAGATAAGGTTTCGGTGGACAGGCCAACCTGGCCTGAGACATCCTCGCACTTCTGACCTCCAGGATCAAATGCCGAACGGCGACTTGGATACTTTCACTTGGGGCACGCTCGCAATGAAAGCATATGGCATATGGCGCCCCCTCTCTTCCTCGTGCTCCTCAAGCTCTCCCCCCCCCCTTTTCCTCCTCCTCCTCCTCGTCCTCCTCCTCCTCCTCCTCGTCCTCCCCCTCCTCCTCCTCCTCTTCCTCCTCCTCCTCCTCTTCATCCTCTTCCTCCTCTTCCTTCTCCTCGTCCTCGTCCTCCTCCTTCTCCACAATTACTCAATCTGAATACTACTCTCCCTCTTCCCCTGATGACGGCCTGGGAGTCCGACCCCCCCCCCCCCGCGTACTGTTTTTTACACACAGGTTTCCCCGGAGTTGGGTTTTCGCATGCATTTTTTCAAAATGCTGCTCTCGCTGATGCGCCGGCCTCATTTTCGGGCCCCGCTCGTTCCGAATCGTGCTCCCGCTCCAGCGGTGGCATCATTTCCGCGCTTCCGCTCGTTCCGAATCGTGCTCCCGCTGCAGCGCTGGCATCATTTCCGCGCTTCCGCTCGTTCCGACTCGTGCTCCCGCTGCAGCGCTGGCGTCATTTTCCCGTGCCATGCCACGGCATGCAATGCAATGTTCGGTTGATGCTACTCTTTGCGGTGCTCTTCTGCGCCATGCCGTGCCGTGCTCTACAACGCATCGCGCACCCTTTTCGGGATCATTGCCCTGCTCGACATCCGACTGCGCGAGTAGAGAGGGGATCTGCGCCATGGTAAGGGATAGGAGGGAGAGGTAGGATGTCAGATACGACGCGAGCGCACCTACCTTGTCCTCCTCCTCCTCCTCCTCTTCCTCTTCCTCCTCCTCTTCCTCCTCCTCCCCCTCCTCCTCCTCCTCCTCCTCCGCCTCCCCCTCTTCCTCCTCCCCTCCCCCTCCTCCTCCTCCCCCTCCTCCCCTCCTCCTCCTCTCCTCCTCCTCCTCCTCCCTCTCCTCCTCCTCCCCTCCTCCTCCTCCTCCTCCTCCTCCCTCCTCTCCCCGTCCCCCTCATCGCTCCATTCCTTGTCCTCCTCCGCACCCTCCTCGTCCTCCTCCTCGCCCTCGTCCTCATCGTCCTCATCCTCGCCCTCCTCCTCCTCCTCCTTCTCCTCATCCCCCCCCTCCCTCTCCTCTAGTGAGCGCTGCCAGCTGCGCGGATGACGGCCGCAGGGCTGACCTTCCAGGGCCCCCAGGATGAGCCTGGGCAGGCCCTGGGGCCCGCACAAGGTCCGCACAAGGCACGCACACGAGGCCGCACCA